AAAAAAAAAAAAAAAAAAAATTCTATATTTAAGTAGAATTTGATTTGATATTTCAATTGAAAATATAACATTAAATTATTTTAATATCAAACTTATCGTATTTTTATCTAAATATTTTGTGTATTGTACATTTAACGAAAAAATAACTATTAAATAAGTATTGTAGAAAATTATTTTAAATTTATTTCATAATGTACTATTTGTATCAATTAATTTAACCAAGGTATTAAAACTAAAATTAAATAGATACCCAAACAAAAATTACTATAGCTAAAAAATATTAGTATTTAATAAATTTAAAATCTATTTTATTAGACCAAAACTGATTAATATTTCAAAATTTTTTACATCGTAATATAAAAATAGCAGTCTTTTTAAGTAAAATATTGTTTGATTAACAATAAACAATATCAAGCACCAATTGATTAAATGAAATACCTTAATTAGTCCTTTTCAATGTGTTCTTTCATATCTCTTCCTTTAGTTTCAATTGGCAACAACATACATGCTATAGCAGCTAATATTGATGCCGAAATATATACCATTATTGAAATTGAAATGGATGATTTAAGTAAAACCTAAAATAAAGAATTCATATAAAAATTCTTCTAAATTGCAAATATAACATTCTAAATATTTCTACTTGAGCTATGTAAGGTGTTACCATAGCCCCTAAACGTGCCATTGCACTACAAGTTCCTAGTCCAACTGATCTTAAAGGTGTAGGGTAAACCTAAAATAAAATTTATCAATTATATAACAAAAGTCTAAAAATAAAGCTTACAATACCTCTGGAGTATAAACATAAGCAGCTTGAAAAACTCCAGCAATTATTCCTCTTGCAAAAAATAGAGAAATGGTGAGTAGGACACGGCTAAAAGCATAAGTTTTAATATTTATCACTTAAGTAAATTAAATTTTTGTAAAAAAATACAACAATAAAACTATAAAGAAATTGTAAAGTAATAATACCCCCCCCCCTTAAAAGTGCATGATACAAATACAAGTAAAACTTTTTTCAGTCATTCAACTGATAGATATTAGGTTTGTATTGGAATAAAATAAAATAATAAATTTTATTTGAAATGACTTTAAACTTATTATTATTAATTTTTAGCTTCAATGCGAAGCTGAGAAGGTATTGGTTTTACTATGATGTGTTTTTTTTTTTTTTTGTGTCTGTTACCACTTTTTCTCAGCTCTCACCGAACTGATTTCTTTCAATGATACGTCAAAAGATCACAAATTGTATCTAGTCGAAGACATTACCCTCAAAAATTGAAAAAAATTCCCTCGTTTCCCGTAAATGGGGGAAACCTCCAAAAAAATTACGAATTTAAAAATCGCTAATTTTCGAAATTTTTTCAATTTTTTTTCTTAAAAGTGCCATAACTTTTTCAAAAATAACATATCAATATAATTCTTTTTTATATAGATGCATAATATTATTACCTTTCATTTGGTATATTTTTTTCATAAATTTAACCCTTAACCTGCCCACAAGGGGGGATTTAAAATGACAACTTTTTCACAAAAAATTTACTTTTCAACTTAAATTTTGAAACTGTTCCGGAAAGTCTGACACTTTTATTTATATCTTAAATTAAAGTTAATGTAATCTACTTTATTATGCGAAAAAAAAATTTCGGACTTTATTTTATCTTCACGGTGAAAATGGCTACCAAATGCTATTATTATGTGAAAATTCTCGATTTTATTTTTTACATTTTTAACTTTATAATGCTATAACTTATTTAAAAGTGTATGGATCAACATTATTTTTTTATAAGAAATAATATTTTNATGTATGGGTCAACACAATTTTTTTATGAGAAATAATATTTTTTAATAATCCCTTTTTCATTCGACATACTTTATCTTAATTAGGATATTAATAATGAACTAGCAGTTTATGAAGCTTTTGGAATAATCCACCAATTTTTTAAAATTAAACACTATCTAAAGATTTGCATCGAAGCGTTTTTTTTTGATAGTGATTTTAATCACTGTCAGATATCTTTATACTTGATCCATCTATGCCACGTCACCACTGTGCCGCGACCCCCCAGTGCTGGGTTTTTTTTTTATTCTATTGCCACTAAAGATATTATGATCTTATGATAACTGAAATAACATATGTAAGTATTTAATTGGATATTATCAAAGATATCAAATGAAAATATCTTTTTTTATGCATTTAAATTTTTTAAAACAAATAGGGAAATTATGTTATAATATATACAATAGAATTTTGACCGTATATCTAATAAAACAATAGAATCCGTCTAAATCGAACACTCAAAATATCACGGCCAACAATGATGCTCAATAGTTTTTTTTTTTTTATCGGACCCTCTGTAAAGAAGTTTTACTTCAAATATTACTACATAATCAATTAAAAATATTAATTCATTAATTTAAAATAAATCAACATTTTTTTTTTATATATCATTTTTGTTTTACCTTAAAGATATCATATCCCTATTTTATGTACTATTTTTAGTTTGTTAATTTTTAGATATTACACTTACTTTTTAGCACAGTGAATAAGGAAACTCAGACTAATTGCAAATATGATAAATTGTACTACCATTGTAATTTTTCTCCCAAATCTATCAATGATATAAATTGTAGCAAAAATACCTGGAAAACATGATTTATTACTAAGGTATTTTACAAGTAAAACTTAGGGAAATGAAAAGTTTTAATATAATTTAAATTTTTAACTAAAAAACAAAATTTGTTTTTTAGTTAAAAATTTAACTTATTTAATAAGTTTAGCAAGTAGTTTTAAAATGAAGAGAAAGTTTTTTTAGTTTATAAGAGTTTTTATGTAAATGTGTTGTGTTAATTAACTAACTAAGTAGTCAAAACCAGTATAGATTAAAATCTATTAATAGCAGTATTTTAAAATACTTTTAATATACAACAAGGCGTATAAGTTTNCAGTATTTTAAAATACTTTTAATATACAACAAGGCGTATAAGTTTATGCACTTAAAATCACATAATAAACATAAAATTTAATACTACTTATTACTTATTTGATATACATACATATATATATATATACTTTATATTTTTATGAAATAAAGGATGTAGGGGAAAACAGTAGTAGTTAATTTTTTGAAATATTGATTTTATTGTTTAATTTATTCTCTCCATAAAAATGAATAGTAATAGACTACTATGTTTTTTACTCTATACCCTTCAAATAGATTTGTATCTCATTTAGCATTTTTTTTGCACCAAAAAAAAAATATATATATTAACACACATATGTATATAATTTTCACCTGGAAATTCAGCTAATGTCGTCCATAGCAAATCAATATAATCCCTTGTAGAAAGGTAGCGAGACTCTGCAGTACAAGTTTGTACAGTTTTAAATAGTTCATTTTCTATACTGGGAGTACATATTTTATTGTTATTGCCACTTTCAAAAAGTTCAGTTGACATTAATACAATTCCGTAGTAACAAAGAGCACAAACCAACCTAAAATTTAAACATTACATTTGTTAATCAATGCATAATATTTTTACTATGCATTTAATTTATTTATCTATAAAATCTAAAACAAATCTATAATTTTAAAAATGTAATGATCATTTTTTTTATGCATTAATAATGATCTCAATGAATTTTTTAAACAAAATGCTATTTATTTATTTAAAAATAACTATTTAGAGCTAATTTGACTTTAAAGCTCTAAATAAATTAAAATCAACAGCTAAATTTTGTTTCAATGTGTTTTATTTAAAAAAATTATAAGCAACAATTGCACATTTTTAATTTAAAGTAGTTTAATTTAATTTGAGTTTTCATTTTTTTAAATATTTGTTTTGAATAATAGTTCATATTTTAATTACCATATAAACCAAAGCAATACTGATGTAACTCTAAGCTGTGGTAATAATAGGTCATAAAAACAACCACGTTTACCTTCTAAAACAATATCATCCACAACTAATTTCCCTAATAACATAGATTTATTATTATCATGAGCCACTTTTTTTAATGTACTTATTGCTTTTTCTGTTTGTCCACTAGTTACTAAATACCGTACTGACTCTGGTAACCACTAAAATTAACATATAAATTTATAAAATTATGAAAACTTGGTAATAGTAAAATTATTTTGTGTACCGGACAGATACATGCAAATCCTAACAATGGTGCAGTGGATAAAATTAACAACCATCGCCATCCTAGTATGGGCATAACAATAAGAGCTAAAACCACTTCAAAACATGCTCCTAGTGCCCAGAAACACTAAAAAATTTAAATAATTAAACAATTATTTTAAAATAGTAAATATAATAAACTATGAACATATAACTATGAAAAACCATTAGAAGACTTTTAATATAACTAGTGTATGGACAAAAAAATTACTTAAAAATTAACATAATCTGGAGATTTCTCTTCAGTTAAAATAAATTTCAGCTAATAATAAACTATAAAAATAATTTCTTTATCTAAAAAAAAAAAAAAAACAATAACTTTGGTAAAATAAATAAATGTTATTAGTTAAACAATTGCAATATATTATGATTCTGAATATTTTACAAATTTATTTAATTTGGAATAATCAAAACATTTTTTTAAAAATATTTTAGAAAATACTTCTAGAATAATTTTATCAAACTTACATCAAGTAGTACTACACATTTTGCCCGTTGCTTACAAGGTAGAAATTCAGCATACAAAGTAACACTAATAAATCATGAATAATGCATTAAAAAAAAAATGTATATATATATTGTTTTATTGATGTGGTGCAAAAAATGTCAATTTTATAAATGTTGTTGGAACACCCCCTAATTTTGTTCTATATATAAAAAAAGTCTAGTTAAAAAAAAAAAATGAAATTTACTGGTTGCACAACATAATATATGAAAATTGATGTTTTTACATCACTCTATTATATTATATAGAGTGGCACAAAGTATACACTATATACTTACGATTGAGGAGAGCAACCAATTGCAAATCCAACTAGTCCTCTTAATATTAGTAGCCATGTATAATTAGGTGACATGGAGCTGAGGATTCCAAAATAAAACAAAAGAAATGTACATAATGTTAAAGCCTAAAAAATAAAAAAAACAAATTTCATAGATTAAAAATTTAACATAAACACTTGGGGTAAACTGAAATTATGTTATTTCATTACATTATTAATTTTCATACCAATTACAATGACTTAAAAACTTTTATATTCATATTTAAATAACATGGGAAAACATGATTTTTTAATAAAAATTCTTATTATCACAAAATAGTCAAAACAAAGTTATTTGTTTAAATATACAACAATATAAAATTTTTAGCTTCAAAATATATATCTGGTCATTTTTTGTTATTTGATAAAAACAGTAAAGTATTTGTCCGAGTTCAACCTCACTTGAGAGAATTTTTTCTACTATTGGTTTAATCTGGATCAAGTTGTAACTGTTTGTGACACAACAAACCAGCAAGTTGGTAAAAGTACATAGATTTTTGAATAAAAAAACAAATCAACTTTACTTTACCAAATTCATATTTTATTATGTGTATTTATTATCTTTAAGTCTAGATAAAGAGTTTTTACTAAATTTTTATTTCTATTTTTACTTTAATTTTTAAATGTAAAAAAATGGAAAAACAGAGAAAAAGTTTCTAATAATATTCTACTTACTGGTTTACGACCAAATTTGTCACTAAATGATCCCCAAAATGGAGAGCTCACCATCATACCAAGAAAAACAATCTAGTAATAAAACAACAAATATATTACAGTTTCAATCTTTTAATTAAAAATAATTGTTTAAATTAAATTTAATTAGCTTTTTTCTAACAATAAAAATCAAATAAATGTACTATAATTTATAAATATATGATAATCAAATAAATAATTTTTTAATATATATATATATAATAAATATTTTTTAATGAGAAAATGGAGTTTCTTGAACAATATTAAAAGGTATATTTTTTCAAAGAAGAAATTTAATTTTTCATTAGCTTAAATGGAAAAGAAAATTTTATTTTATTCTCCTAAAAAATGAACGATTGATGCTCTTCTTTAATACTATACACTCAAAATAAGGGTAACCAAAAGGGTGTTTTTAATATGACTTCTATATGTCCTGAATGTACTAGGTTTTTTTAATTAATCGAGTAAAAAAATTACCAATTAAAATAAAATATAGGGTTTTTTTTAGATATATTTCTTTCAATACTAAAATTATAAAAAGAAACTATTTATTATTATTTATTTATTTACACTCAGGAGGCAATGTACAGTAAAATAGATTTAAAACTTAATTGTACATATATATACAATAACCAAATGAAGTTACAATAATTACTCATAACTAAAAAAAAAAAAAATTTATAATAAAAATAATAAAGAAATTAAATCATTGACATATAACAAACTTAATATTATCTAAACTATAAAACAAATCAATGTTACAATCATTACATGATCAATATGAACATTTAAATATTCGATTAATTGACTCCATAGTAGCTATAGTTTTGATTGTGATGGTGTATATAAGATATGATTTTTTAGATTAATATATGGTATATTTAGACATATTTTCTAATATGAGAAATCAATATTTCCATTTAGTAGATAATTAATACATTTTAAGTCAAAGTATCGATGTCAATCAGCTGAGATTTGTAGGTAAGAATAAGACAGCATATCATTTCTTTTTCTTTTTTATTAGTTATTATTATCATTAATTTGACCATATTATAATTTTTTGTCTAAGTAAATGAGACTCCATTAGAAATATTTACAAAAATATATAAATATAAATAATATTAACAATTAAAAGAATTCTAATTTACTGACAGAAACTATATAGTTTCTATATATTTCAACATTAAGTCAAAATATTCATAAAATTTCAAACAGCTATACATCAAATACATATACAGGGTGATTTTTTTATCATAACCCACTCAATTACTTGCAGAATAATAATAATTTAAACATTTTTTTTTATTATTATCTTTAGTTACACATTATTCTTGAATTTTTAACTATGTAATACTTTTTAAGTTCATCCATTATGCCTTGGAGGGGGGTCAACTTTGTTTTTTTAAATGGTAACACAAATTTTTAATTTAATAAAATGTTTGAGTTTTTAATTTAATAGTAAATGGCATTTGAATTTTTAATATAACTTAATTCGTTTATTAGATATAATCATTTAAAGTTTCAAATTTTTGAGTTAATATATAGGTATAATACACAAGGGATTACAAATACAGGTAGCTAATTGATTTTTTATGACATCGATATTAGCAGGTACACAGCATTGTTATTATCAATGATAGTAAGGCACATTGTTATGAGTTTATAAATACACTAACTGACAATACAGAAAGTATATCTATTGATAATCATAATTGATAATAAACAATCCGTGACTGAGACAGCAATGTCATAAAAATCCAATTAACTACCTGTATTTACAATCCCATGTGTATTATACATGTATATTAACTCAAAATTTTGAAACTTTAAATGTTTATATCTAATAAGCTAATAAAGTTATATTAAAAATTCAAATGCCATTTACCATTAAATTAAAAACTCAAACATTTTATTAAATTAAAAATATGTGTTACCATTTAAAAAATCAAAGTTGACCCCCTTCTAAGGCATAAGGGATGAACTTAAAAAGTATTACATAGTTAAAAATTCAAGAATAATGTGTAACTAAAGATAATAAAACAAAAAAAGGTTTAAATTATTATTATTCTGTAAGTAATTGAGTGGGTTATGATAAAAAAATCACCCTGTATATATACATAAATAATTCCTAAAATATAGGATAAAATTAAAGTGGACACACTTAATTAACTTTTGTATTACCACAAAATGTTTATAAAATTAAGAAGAATTTGTTAGAATTGGATCCTTAGTATCATAAAATAAATTAAAATGGAACATACAATAAAAAAAGAAGTAAACAAGGCTTTATCTACGAAAAAATTGTGAGTGACACTTACTGCTATCAAATATTTTATAATTTTATTTGGTAGTCTTTCTGTATTATAAAGTTGTATTATAAAATTCGAGAAATTACCCAAAATTTACACATTTTTAATATTTTTCTTAGATACATATTCATTATTTACAGTAATTGCCTTCANGAATAAAAATTCGAGAAATTACCCAAAATTTACACATTTTTAATATTTTTCTTAGATACATATTCATTATTTACAGTAATTGCCTTCAAAATAGTTGTGTTCAAAAAATAAAAAAATGGGTTACCATTGTTCATAACAACCAATTTAATTCCTTATTTAGCAAACGCACTATAAATTTTAAAACAAAATACATTGTATACATATTAAAATTTACTTACTGTTGTAGCTAATGCTTGTTGATATCTACTTATTTGCCATTCATATTGTAGTGTAGGTGCCAAAATACTAAGTATAGTCATCTCCATACTATCAGCCATCCAACATAATCCAGTAAATAATGACAGTTTAACTTGAAATTTTCCAAATCCAAAAGCATCGACTGCTTGGGCAACAGTATATGTTTCTATGAAGACAGAAAAAAATAACATACATTTGAGTATATTTTAGAAATATTAAATTCAAAATAAAAATAAGGTATTGAACACTATTTAAGTAGCCTTTATCCCAATTAATTGGGTTCAGCCACTCTTATCCTAAACTTCCACTAGACTTCTAGTGGAAGTTCTAGTCACTAGACAAATTCTTTATGTGTACAAGTATCGAATTATTTTATTCTGTTTCTTAACATTAAAAAAATAATTGGTTGATAATATTATATTACATATTGATTTTTTTTATAACTTGTGGTAGTTTTTTTTTATATTTTAATTAAATATGAGTGGCTAGGATAAGGGTGGCCGACCCCAAGTAGTTGGGATTAAGGCGAGGAAGAAGAAAAAGAAGAATTAAATATGAGTGGCTACCGAAAACAATTTAGAGGTGCTGAATATCGTAAAAGAAAAGAAGAAGAATCTACGAAAATAGATAATTTACTTAAACAAAATCCAAAAATACTTTAATAACAAGCTCAACTAAAAATCTTCTAACATGACCAACAACCATCATGTTCAACAGTCGTTAGTATTTTGTTATGATTTCTAATAACTTTTTTTAGCTCGATGGGAAGCCGAGAACGTATAATTATACTAGGATGTGTTTTTTTTGTATCTGTTACCAACTTTGACTGGAGCGATTTTGATGAACGATATGTCAAAAGATTACAAATCATATCTAGTTAAACAAGTTGTCCTCGAAAATTGAATACAATCCTCTTGTTTCCCGTAAAAGAAGAAATTATCCGAAAAAGTAATTACTTTTAAAATCGTCAAATTTCGACATTTTTCAAAATATTTTTAAAATCATTTTTTTTTATAAATACCCTAGATATATACCTTTCACTTGGTGCATTGTTTTTTAAAAATTAACTTAACGTGGCAACAAGGATTTAAAAGTTCAATTTTTTTTTTTGAAAATTAAATTTTTCAACTTTTTAAAATGTGTTGGAAAACCTGACACTTTTGGACATAACTTAAATTAATTCTAATGTACTTTTTTTTTGAAAAAAAACTGTATACTCAGAACTTATCTTTTAAGTGTAAATAAACTTCAAAGTTGAAGAAAAAAAGGGTTTTATTTTAAAAATCGTATAATATCTTAAACATTTTAAAATTAAAAGTTCAATATTACGGTATTATTTTTTGAAATATTAATGGATCAATAAAAATTTCATTAATACAGTTTGTTTAAGGGGCTCCCCTCCATGAAAGTTTGGACTTTTTACAAAATTTTTAAATTACAATTGACATTAATTTTTAAAATATTCATAAATCAGTATATAATTTTACAGTTATAAGATGTGGATGGTCAGCTCCCCACGAAGTGATTAAATTATTCATGAAATTTCATAAATATAGTGTTGGGGGCTACTTCCTGTCTACAAAATGTTTGAATTATTTCCGATGTCAATTTATGGTAGCGCTACTGATTAAATAAGTTGTTATTGTGTTATAATTCTAAATCGTACAACTATTAATCAGGGTATAATTAAGTAAATACGAGTTTAAGTTGCTTTTAAAATAATCAAATTTAATCTAAAAATTTTATACTAAATACATATTTGCATCGAAGCGTTTTTTATGACAGTGATTTTAATTACTGTCAGATATAATTATGCTCCATCCCCACTATGCCCCTGAAAAACTATGCTACCGTTTTTTTATAAAACGTTAGTCGTGATAAAAATTAAATAAATGCCAATTATTGAAATTGACTTTTTTCCTAGCCGGAATTAGAAGAGACTTCAGAACAAGATAACGAAAAAGTACAATCGCCCCCTTTTATATCACATGATACGAACGAGACGCCATTAAAATTTCTTTCATTACAAGATAATTAACTGATATTTAGAAATTTAATACTGATCCCTTTTTATAGATTTTGAATGAAGAAACACGGGATTTCTTTACTATAAACGGTATACCATAAAATGCTAATACGGATTTTAAAAATTCTAGAAATGTTTATAGTGTTAAAACGAAGTATTGTTCCAAAAATGTATTTCAACGTACTTTAAAAAACGGAGAAATACAACGCCGCGAGTGGTTAATTTATTCGGAAACTAAAAGGTGTGTATATTGTTATCCATGCTTATTAATTGGTAGAAGTAGTGAAATTAATGCTTTTACTGATGAAGGATTTTGTGTCTGGAAAAACTCAAAAGCACACATCATAGCTCATGAAAATTCTGATTTTCACAAAACTAACGTTAGTCATTTTAAAGCTCGAGCATTAATTCACGGGTGTGTCGATCAAAGTCTAATAAAACAGCTCAATTAGGAAATTATGTATATGAAAATAATTTTTTACCAAATAATTGCAATTATTAAATCACTAGCAATAAAAGGATTGCCATTTCGGGGAAATTTAGAAGAAATAGGATATCTCCATAGTGGGAATTTTTTAGGAACAGCAGAGCTTCTAGCTAAATTTGATCCATTTTTATCTGAACATTTAAAATTGTATGCGCATCCTGGTAGTGGAAGTACGTCGTATTTGTCTAAAACAATCTATAAAGAAATTATATTGTTGATTCAAAATAAAGTACTACAAAAAAATTCCAGTAAAGTGCAATCTGCTAAGTATTTTGGTATAATTGTAGATTCGACACCTGATATTGCAAATTTTGATCAGCGTATTATGATTATAAGATATATACGGGATGACAGTAGAATTATTGAAAAATTTCTCGAATTTCTACCAAATATCGGCCATAAAGCTAAAGATATTAAGAATGCTTTGTTAAAATCATTAGAAAATAATGGTTTGTACATAACGAACTGTCGTGGTCAATCTTATGATAATGCAAGCAATATGTCAGGTATATATGCAGGCTTTTAGACATGAATTAAAACAATTAATCCTTTAGCAGATTACGTTCTCTGTACCACTCATTCTTTAAATATGGTAGGATCATGTGTACTTGAATCGGTAACAGAAGCAGTTGACTATATTTACATATCGTTAGAAGATCTTGGTGCACCGTACAAATTTAAGATTTAAGAGTCTTTCTCAAACTCGTTGGTCTGCTCAACATGATGCACGTTACGCGTTTGAAAAAGAGTGGTCTACCATAATTGATGCACTTGAATTTATTGCCGAAAGCAGAGATGAAAAACCGACGACGCGATCTGAAACTACGGATTGCAGCGAAAATTACAGTATTTAGAAGCAGCAATCCTAGTCATTGATTGGAATGTAATTCTAGATCGTTTTAATGCTGCTAGTAAAAAATTTCAAGAATCTCAAGCTGATTTATCATCCGTTGGGCAGAGTTATAGATCTCTGACTCTATTTCTTGAAGACATGAGAGACAGACAATTTTCTGATATGAAGAAAAAGCCAAATCACTATCTGGAGTTCATAATTATTATCGTTATGATACTCGTCGCAAAAAAAAAAAAAAACAGAAAAATTCATCCAGATGAGTCACCGGTAAATGAAAGATCACTTTTTTCTGGACAAGAAAATTTTTGTACAAATGTTTATTACCCTATTCTTGATACACTTAGTGTACAATTGGTCGAACGTAAAAGTGCAAATGAAAAGCTTTACGAAAATTTCAATTTTTTGATGATTTATGTAACATAGATACAAACGAATTGAAAAATCTTACCAATAACTTAGTCAGTAAGTATCTGAACGATTTGGAAGAGACGTTAGGCAATAAATGTATTCATTTATATTGTCAACTTAAAGATTTCCTAGCAAATACGAAAAATTTACGCTCTGCACAAAAAACATGTAATGTATTGTATTCAAGAAGTCTTAGAGATGTTTATCTGAATGTGGACATTGCTCTCCATATCTTTTTGAGTATTCCAGCAACAAATTGAGGAGAAGATATTTTTCCAATCTAAAAAGGGCAAAAACCTTTTTACGTGCAAGCATGGAACAAGATAGATGTAATTTGTGAAAAAAAGGATTTTATATCCCATACACAGTAAAATTAAAGAGCCAAATTGATAATTTTGAAATATATAAAAAACTAACTAAATAATTATTAGGAGAGGCTGAGGTATTAAATAAAATCATAAATGTTATTAATTCACTAACTATTGTAATAATCGACAGTATAATTAATAAAGAATATGTTATAATATCAATCTGTATTTTAATTACTTGTTTTCTTAATTTTTTAGAAGTAAAATACATTTAAAGAAATATTTTCTATAAGGTAGTGCAGTAAAAAATATGTTTAGGAAACTGTAAAATATGATGTAAACAAGTGTAAAATTATTATTAAGCATAAGTATTTTCAATTTAATATTTTTTAATAATACACTTTATAAAACATTGAATCTAAAATAAAAAATCAACTTTATTTATTAAATTTATGGATTGCTAATGATTTAAGATTCAAATTTAAATAAGAAATGAAAAAATTTTAATTTGGATTCACAAAAAAAATAAGAGTAGTATCTTAAATGTTATAATTTTTTCACATCATTATTATATGTATATTTTTTATAACCTCGATCAGGGTAAAAATAAAATGTTGTTTGAGTAATTTTAAAAATATTATTGATCATCATTTTATTAGTATTTTGTATTACAGACTTTGTAAAAGAAAAAAATTTCAATGGGAAAAAAGGTATTTTTTTATTTATTATTTCTAGAAGAGAATATTTTCCTGTGGATAAGGGATAAGAATACTTCCACGGATGTTTTTAACCCTTTAGTACAGTTTACATTTTCAAAATAAATTTTTACGTTGAAGGAATCACAATTTCAAAAAAGTGGCCTGACCGATACCTAAGTGACATGGTACTGAATTCAAATTTTGTTCAGAATTCTTATCGCATCAGTAGTTTTGTCGTACTGTTGGAACAAAAACGGGTTGTTTTGTACGCTCAAACTAATGGTTTTTAAACAGTAGCTGTTATATTTGACATGCTCGTGCACGTATGTGCGTTATTTGCAGCATTTATTTTATTGCCCATAGAGCATTATAGACTGCCTAAAAATAGTTACAAATGCATACTTGATATTATACATGTATATATAATATTTGATTATTTGCAAAGCTGTCATTGCATAGTAAGAAACAAATTTTGTTGTTGTATTCTTATATAAGTGTTGCTAAAAAAATGGGGTCATAAAAAACTATCGCTATCAAAAAAAAAAAAAAAATAGAGGTAATATATTTACATTATATAAGTGGCATCAAAAAAAAAAAAAGTTTGGTGAAGTACGTATATATAAAAATAATTTTCATACACTTTTTAAGTTTCGATAGAAAACTGAGAAGGTATTAGTTTTACTATGATGTGTTTTTTGCTTGTGTCTATCCATATGTGTACCTATTGGACTGTTATTGTTCAACGATACGCCAAAGGATCAAAAAATATATCTTGTTGATGTATTTAGCATTATATTTTAATAATTTCTCATTAAATCTGGCACAATAACGTGTTTTTCTCAGTCCCACAATATGTTATCAAACTAGATCTAACACTAAGTAACTGATGTTATGGACTTCCCATAAGAACAGGCTTATAATATTTTAGTGTGTAAATAATATAATTTTGTAAATTGCATTTTTCTAATTAAAATTAGTTTTTTTATAGTTTTATAACTTCAAAAAAATCGATATGGATCTCATATGTTTTAACTTGTTTTCTGTAAATATTTAGTTTTTCTTACTCGTCGAAAATAAATAGTTTAATTATTTTTATAATCAATTAAAATGTGTGAATTCATAACGCGTCTATACGTATTTACAGTGAGGCTGGTGTTAAACTATAGTTTTTATACTACATAAAATAAACGTGCGTAGTTATCAATATAATCGTATTACATCAAAAAGTATGGCAGGTACACAACCGGTTTTGTTATCGACTATAACACGACGAAAATACTCCCAATAATGGACACTCACACTAATAATCATTTATTTCTCACACAACGACACTGCGTAACATGTAAAAAGGAGTCCCGAAAAGGTACATTAATATAACAGAAGATATGTATGATGACACTTGAACCAGGATAAAAAGCGTAGGAAGAGTAACAGAAGGTTTTCGGATATGAGTAGGAGAGCACCAAAGTTCTGCTTTAAGCCCTTACTTATTCTCTATAGTGATGGATGAAATTACTAGAGAAATACAAGCAGAGGTGTCATGCAGCAAGTTGTTGCTGACGATATAGTGTTAATAGGAGAAAATTAATGAAAGGCTAGAGATGTAGAGATCAGCTCTTGAAGAAAAGGGTATAAGAATAAATAAAAGACAGAGTATTTAGAGTACGAGTTTGACAAAGGAGAACACGATGTAGGTGAAATGAGAAGATCAGTGACAATAGTCCTCATATGAGGACAGCTTATGTGAGCGTAGATGATGTGGGAGATTATGTCAAGTGGAAGTGTAAGATAAGGGTGGCCGACCCCAAGTAATTGGGATTAAGGCGAGGAAGAAGAAGAAAAAGAAAATATTGATAATTATAATTCAATACCTCAAGTATAAAACCTAATTTAATATTAGCATGAGGTTTTATTTAATTTTTTAATAAAACTATTATGTCTCTTATAAAAGTCTTACACAGTGAACTATTTTTACACTTCAATAATTATATTTAAATTATTTCAATAAAATGTGTCAAAATAATTTTTTTGAAGAGCAAATATATTCAAAATTGCCAAAGATTTGCTATGGCTCTGCATGTTAAGAGTTAATGCCATCCCATAAATATTCCTATTAGTACCTATTAGTATTGTCCATGTAAATTTATTATTTGTTTGTATTTTCATAGATAATACATTTCTTTGTAAAAATTGACAAAGATAGTATTTTCTCATATTATATTTTCTTTATTTTTGTCATTACTAGATTATATCAATTACAAAAGTCTGATTCCCGATGTTTCAAAATATATCAAAAACCATTCCTATCAATATACATGTACTGATAAATATTTCAAAATAAAATACTGATTCTATCAAATAATTGATCCAAATAGCATAACTTGTTAAATACTAGTGTAAAAGTTGTTATCGACTAATAATTTTTTTTAAATAGATTATTTTATAGGTTGTAAATTGGTTAAACTTATATAATATATAATATAATGGAAATATATACTATATATTTCCATTTTAAAAACTTATGTTGAAAAAATGAAAAGGAGAAAAGAGGGGATTAGGAAAACATTATTTATATTGTATAAATTTTTCTTTCATTCATAAGGGTGGCCGACCCCAAGTATTTGGGTTTAAGGGGAGGAAGAAGAGGAAGAAAATTTCTAGGAGAGAATAGGGTAGTCATCTCTAGAATTATTAATATTTGAAAAAAGTAATAAAAATTACCATCAGGTACAACAGAAACACTATTCATTTCAAAATCAAGAGATTGCTTATTTGTAGTTATAATGTCACTATTAATTTTTCCATCATCTTCACTGAATTTTCGATGCGAGGAGGTATCCATAATTATAAATTCTTCGTTTTTCAATTAAATTAATTACTTCAAAAAGTTATATATTTAAAATTACAAAACATTTTAATAACAATTGTATATTAAATTATAAAAACTTATAAGAAACTCTTTATAATTTTATCAATTTTCTAAAGCACTTAAATTTGTAAGAACTCCCATTAAAATTTTCAAAAAGAATTATTTCACATATATTTATAATAATTATTTTTTGAGATACATATTACCTCCTCAAATAGCTACATACAAATATACAGTTATGAAATAATTTTTTGATGACGATTGCGAAAGATAAAAAATAACGGTAATCTTAGATATTAAAAAGGTGATACGGCGTTTAGTCACAGATTATATGAAAACAGATAGTTCACTCGGCCGAGAACAATAGAAAAAAATCAAGCTCTCTGATTAGCAGCGGACACAGTAGTGAAGACCGTTGTACAATTTCACATTATTGTGCAAATATTTTACAATAATATTGTACAATTCCTCTATCAGTTACAAAAAGTATCAATGATATGAGAATTTGAAACATAATTATATTTTAATACTTGAACGATAATTAATTATAATTATTCGTGTACTTATTATTTTTCAATAACGCTTGTCTTAATAAAAATGTCTTTTTAAATATTATCTGACGTTATGAATATTGTGTTTAATTTGTATGAAAGTTGTAGTCTTGTGTAAAGTTTGTTATTTCATTTATTTTTTGTCAACGTTTAATTAATTTTATCTATAAAATATGAAGCTGTAATTTTTGGTAAGTACACTTGAATTGTCATTATGGTGTACAATCTAAATTAAATTTTAAATTTTTAGGATGTACTTGCTGTTATTTGTTTATCAATCAAGTTTTTTCTCAATAGGAAATTGTAAAAGTTCAATTAAGGTGTTGTATAATAATTTGAACAACAAATTTTATTTATTTAAATTAATGTTTGAATAAAAATTTATGTTAGTAATAAATTCATGATTTATAAAAAATAAAATATATATTGGTAAAAAAAATACAGTACAACATATAAAAAATTATGTACACAATATTAGAATAATACAGTATCACTGAATTTTGCAACTTCGTAGTCCTCAATGTAAAAAAAACCATTTCATATACCTAGAAAAATAATTTAATTTTAAATTTAATAATACAAAAAATTAGTTAATTATAGATTAAAAAAATTCAAGCGTTGATGAAAAAACAGTTAATTTAGAAATGCTGGAGAATTGCTAATTTTCTATTTAGAAATTTTATTGTAGAATTAATCCTGAAACGAATAAAAAATTTAATAAGATAATTGTCAAAATTAGTACATGGATGTTCATAGATAATATTTAGCATTTGTAATTTCAATTTATCACCAACTCCCTTTTTCAAAATACAAAATAGGAAAACTTTCTATAAAAATGGTTTCTAATTTATACTAGTAATTATAAAAATCTTCTGGAGGCATTTGTAAATATCCAAATAATGATTTTTTTTAGTTTTCATAAGCTTTAAAATAACAGTAAAAATGAATAATCTAATTTATTTTGACTTTTAGCATATTCTACACATATTTCACAAAAGTTTGTACACTCGCGGACCTAAAAAATAAATATGTAAAGCTAATTGTTTAATTTCATTATTATAACGATATCCTTCTTTTTTCTTGTTCTTCAAGTTTATTTGAGATTTAACAATTGTTAATAATGCAGGTGATAAATATTTCTTACTTAGTCTTATACAAGTTTTTACTGTGTCATACCTAGAAAATTGATCAGTTAAATTGGCAACAGTCTTATCCATTTCCTTAATTTTCCATTTTTTTCAGATTGTAGTTTTGTCTTCAATTTCAGTTTCCTTGGAGTATTATTTGATAAGTATAATGGAGTTTGTATGATCAAATCACTTGATGATGCAGGAGATTCATAACCACTTTGATAAACCGATGCACTCTCTGATAGGGAAGTCGAAGGTCCAGATGTTGAACAATGTTCTATGATTTCCTGCTATCTTTGAAAAATTATGTTGTCTAAAATTAAATAAAAAATTGTTATGAATAGTAGTTCTAAAACTGTTAATAGTATTATATTTTTTATAAATTTTTAATTATTTTAGATATAATATATAATAAATTTTACAATTTTTATTTTTTAATTATTATTATTCTTGTTATGATACAACAAATGTAAGTCATTTGTTAAAAGGGACCTTTGGATTATTTTCAGTGAATCAAGTTTATTGTTTAAAAATTATTTTATATAATATAAACACATAAAATAAAAAAAATATTTCCATTTTGTTTATTTTCTGAAATTATGATTTTAGATCTTAAATTTAAAACCAACCAAAGAAAAAATTAATTTTAAAAGTAAATTACTAATTAATTTCTAATAATTAAACTACACTGAATAATTATTTTACAAATAAATAAAAAGAAAAAAAATACTGACCACTAATTAATGTAGGTACTGTATCATGTACCAGCCGATTTTTAGTAATTTTGTTCAAAAACATTTTATCCTCAAAATGATCCGCCCAAACTACAAGACTATTTTTTTTGGATAAAGTGTTTAGATTATCCATCCATAGTTTTCTTTTGGATAAGAAAAAAAACTTTTGTCCTTGAAGGAATATCTACTTGGACAAACATCATATACCGATAGGGTATTGAGACATTTTAAAAGAAAGCTCCAAATATAACACGAAATAAGATACTTGTGATCACACGTAAGAGCTAAACACAAGTGTCAACATACATAAGCTAGATAGTATTGAAGACACCATAAAAGGTATGTACTAGCATGTTGAGGGAATGTTGTTCAACAATAGGGTTGATTTGGAGTAACGGTTTCTACCTGTGCACCTTAGTCATCTAGTATACTTACGCAAGGTGCTATTGTTCTAGGTCAATATCACCCTACACTTTAACTAGTGCAGGACTTGAACAGGTTCATGGTTGGGATAGGTAAACAAATATCTTGAATAGAACAAGGTTGGCATTTTATAAGCCAAGTTAAATATTTGTAGCTAATTACATATCATATTCAATAATAAGTAAATTATTTAAAAAGTCATTTTTTTAAGAAAAAACAAATGTAAATAAATTGATATTGTTAATTGTAATAAGTTTCCTTCATTTCATTATGTAATTCATTTGAATTACATAATGTGAGTTACTGTTTACGAACGTACAGTCAACAAAAATATCCTTAGGGGATGGGTACATAAGTAAATGTGTTTGAGGTATCTAAACCCCCTACATTTTTCAGAGGGTCTAGATAGTTCAAACTGATGGAATGTAAATTTATCCACAGTTCCCAAATCATAATGCAGGGCAGATAGTATACAGAGTGTTCAGTAAGTTAGGAAACAGTTAAATTGTTACAAACAATGAGTACAATAGAAATTCGTTTCCTTATTTACTGAACACTGTATAATTAATTATAACACATTAAATTGATTTCAATTACTACTTAAAATCGTTTTTTCTCCTATAGAAATTTTACCTCAGAACCCATTATAATAGGAAAACCGTATCCATGTTCCCTTAATTTGTACTCGTATACAGAGACAAAAAAAATTGTAACTGCTTAGGTCAAATTTAAATAGTTAATAATTTTCATTATAAAAACTGAGAATTACTTAATTTTCATGACAAATATAGGAATTTTGAATTATGAAAAGGTAATAAAAAAGACTAAATGAGGCATTATGAGTTTAATACCTTGATTGAATGATGTATTAAAATAAATTATTTCGATAATCATGTTTTTTTTACAACATTTTATAATATTTGTTACAACAGATTTAATAATAAAAGAAATTTTGCGCTCATACATATGGCTGCACTGATTGATCTGCTGCCAATCAGAACTCTGTTTTGTTATCGGGCCGAGTGAACTATCTGTTTTCATATAATCTGTGGTTTAGTCATAATAATTTTACACTGAAGGAATATTTGTAGACAATCACGTGTTCTCCATAATTTCAATGATAACAAAAAGTTTTATCAAAATCATAGTTCCATGATATTATTTGCAGCTGTTTAAAAAACTGATTATAAGTTGAATATCGAGTTATCGGATTATAAATGGATAGAGGGCATTCATATGTAACATTACTATCTTATAATTAAAGTTAAAATTTTTATTTGACTTTATCTCTCTACATAATTATCAATAGATATCAAAATTTAGTTAATTTAATAATTTTTCAGTTTTTTTTAATAAATTTTAATTCTCAAGTTCATATTTCAGTACAAGTAAGTATAAATGGGGAAAATTAGTTATGTGGAAATTTATTTATACATTTACTAATATATAACTAGTATTTAAGTATTTTGAATAAAATAACATATGTATGAAATCTTACATTTTATTAGATATTTATAATATGCTTAATTTAGTTAAACTAAATTTAATGAAAATCTAAGATACTTGTTTACCCTTGGTTGACAATTTTGTATCTTATATTGATATTCTAGATAAATAATTATCAATAATAACTAATGACAATATATTAATAAACATGTATTTATTTATATGTTAAATTAATATCATAAAATTTGCTATCGGGATAGAATTGAGGATATAAGAGTTCATATTGCTTTTGAAATAATTCAATAACTCATAAAAATGAATCACTATCTACAGATTTGCATCAAAATGTTTTTTTATGATAGTGTTTTTAATCACTGTTAGATATTATCTTTAGTTATTTCAACTATGTCATATCTCAACTTTGCTGATTTTTTTTTATTGGACAAGGATAATACATTAATATAGAAAAGTTTAAAGAACAGTTGAGGATTGGTTACCCTTCAAAATTGTTGTTAAAAGATATATTTATTTTTCAAATATTTTCATGAAGTTTTACTTGTGGAATAATAAAATATTATTATTATCACAAAAACTTACTTATAAATGCAAAAGCAATATTAACCCAAATAATCTGTGATCATTACAGTGACTTCATTTTTTTTATTTTAGTTGTTATCCTCATGTATAGAACACAATTACTATGTATCCAATCAAAAAAATTTTAATTAGACATCTTTCTTAATTTTTAAAATATTACTGCAAATAAAATTGTTAGGTTGCATGATTCTTTACAAAATAAAAATAAAAGAAACTTCTTGGAAATAGTAATAATTTATTTACTTTGAAACTCAATTTATGTAAAAAATTTAAGCAGCTATTACAAAATAATTTTTTTTTAATTTAAAAAATAATATAATTTTACAAAATTTGAAAATATTATAGAATGTTTGCCAGTCTTAAAGAAAAAGTTACCAGATTTATGCAGTTACCTTTTTTTACTGTAAAGGCAGATGATGAAGAATTGGTTGATCCAGCTAAAGTGTTAAGAGTGAGTGCATCACATGTTCAATAAATTTATTAACAAAAAATATATTAAAACATTTTGATATTAGGAAAAATGTGAACAAGAAAAAGAAGCTCAAGAAAGATTTGCCAAATTACAAGAATGTAATAGTAGAGTTCTTTCTAAGAAAGAAACTACAGAGTCATGTGCTGAAGAATTATGGGATTTCTTAGAAGTTGTGGATAAATGTATATCAAAAGATTTGTTTAAACATTTGAAGTAATTTTAATCTGGTGTGCTTTATGCCAATATTGGCAGTATATAAACCACATAGCTTAGGTTTTGCCATGCAGTTTCTTGATTTTTGAACAACATTAGTAATTTAATTGTTAAATTATNCATGCAGTTTCTTGATTTTTGAACAACATTAGTAATTTAATTGTTAAATTATGTAATAAAAACGAAGTCAAAGTTAATTTTGTTTTATTTTTATTTATCACTTATATATATAAATAAATAAAGAACACATCTTAATTTTTTATTTTTATTTTAAATTTCAATACAATTATAATATTAATATTGACAGTTATAGTAATTTAATTACTAATTGACTAGAATGTATCATCTAGATGACTAGCAAAATTTACAGTATTCAAACTTATGTTTAAAATTCAAAGATTATACCTTAAATACTTACAATATTTAATAATATAATAATTTAAATATTATTACGGAAGAAGCTTTATTATAAAATAATCTTATAGATATATGGTGTGAAGCTAAGTAATCACAGATTTGTCCTGATATGTGGACACAAATTAAAGGTGAGTGATGCAGAACAGAGCACCCGCATTACATAATAATGAGTCCTTTTAAATATTATAAGTATTTGAGGTTCATGGAAGCAACTTAATAATTAAAATTATAACAAAAACCTAGAGGAAAATACAATATTTACACAAAAATTAGTAATTTTAATATAATATTAATATTATATCTAAAATAAACAACATAATAAATCAAACATTTTTAAACTATACTATTTAAAAATAAAATTTGTATGAACTGATTATAATATTATTAAAATTCAATTAGGGGACCACTAAGGTAATCCATGTATTTTTTTTTAAAAAAAGAAAATGGTGTTTCTTAAAATCAAAAAGTAATCTCCTCGTTTTTAAGATATATCTATAAATATATTACTAAAATTAAAATTATCTATTAAAATACTCATAAAAATAGAAATAAATAGACTTTGGTAAATTATTTAATCCATACATTTTTGAAAATAATAAATTAAATCTAGAATTTTGATAACAGATAATTAAACAATTGTATATTAATTATGTTAGGTATATTTTAATTTAATTTATAAACTGGTGGTAAGTAATAAAAATATGCTTAAAGCGTAGTCTAAGAAAGCAATAATAGTTGAAAAAAAAAATTTCAATAAAATTATAAATGTGTCAAAAAGTATAAAAATTATCAGTTAAGCCTGAAACACCCATATGTATGTATATATCTTAAATTATATAGTGTTCAATAATTAAGAAAAAGGGTTTTTATTGAACTTTTTGTTTGTAATAACTTATCTGTTTTATTAATTTTTTAACACTAAGTACATTTTATTATATAGAACTGAAAAAATATCTAGACATTAGATTTTTGGAAAATTATTATTTTTTCTAAAATTGTAGATTAACCATGATTATTATTCTATAAAATAATATAGTAATTACATTGTTTTATTTCCAAAAAATCTTTGTTTGAAAGGAATATTGTAGAAGAAAATTAGTTTTGCTTAATCAGTGACATATACTTGACATGTTTTGTTTGGATAAAATTTTACTAACTAAATATAAACAGGATGTCCCATCATGGTCTGAAATGTTTAATAACTTTTGATTTAGTAAATATTTTGCATTATTATTATTTTTAAATAATTTTGAGTTTTAGACTACATTAAAAGCATTTTTTTATTATTTGTTTCTTATAGGAAAAATATATATCAATACCTTTATTATTTTTAAAAATTTCAAAATAGCCATTTTTTGTCTCTTTTTCTAAAGAAAATTGTTGATGGGTCATTGATAATTTTAGAACAATTGAATGAAATTAAAAAAAAATAATAATATGTATCTGTATATTTTTTCTTAGTCTAAAGCAATAATTATAAAAATAATGATTGAACCAAAAGTTAAAAGTGTCATTAAATAAATATGAGACACTATATATATTTAGGGAATATTTTTCTCATTTCATTACTGTAATATTATTAATATTTCTCATAATTGATCTAGAATATGTCTAAAAATAAGAATATTTCACTAATTTTCTTATGAAACCAGAAAATGATCTCAATTTAAATCTCATTGTTCAAAAATGCAATTCATACTTTTTAAAACATTGATTTTTGATTGTTACTGTTACTTTTTATAAATACATCACATTTTTTTTTAAGTCAAAGTTTGTTTAAAAATGTTACCAAAATTGACACATTAAATTTCAATTATATGACTCATTTTCAATTTGTATCATTCCCATCATATGATTAATAAATAGGGCTGTCCTAAAGCCAGAGAAAACCTTGGATTATTTATTTAGATCCTTAGCTGACATTCTTAAAAAAATTTAAGTTTTCTTTAAATACAACAGTTTACATGTACTATATATATATAGTTATAATTGACAATATTATATCATTAAATGAAATTAAGTACGAAATACTTTTAAATAGTATAAACTATGATAATAAAAGTAAATATTCTTCAATATAATGTACTAAATAACTTATATAAAGGTTTAGTGAAGTACTGATACATGTTATAAGGTATAAATACCTAACATATATTAACATAATAAAATAGAAGAGATGAGCAACTTATAGAAGTATAATTGTCTCTGTGCGGAAAGTATCAATAAGTATTTGTAGGCTCTACTAAAAAAGTTATGCCTTAGACCTTGAAAATTGTAGGGACGACCTTGTTAATAAAGCCTTAAATTACTATAATATAAGATTGAAGAAGTTAGACAATGTGACAAAAATGATTGTTAATGTAATGCCCGTCAGTCCAGAAACTTTTTAGTCTATATTATTAACTATTTTAAATTTAGCTATATTAAATGATAATATCTATAATATTTTTATAGGAAATGTAAATTAAAATGAGATAGGAATTTTTTAAAAAATTATTTTAATTTATTAGAATAAAGTATACTTTAGGGAATAGGCACATTAAAAAAATGTAATAATACCCTGCTAATATAATGTTTAAAAGAATTGACAACACTCCAGTTTACAATTGTGACAATTCAAATAATTTTTTTTTTGGAAATAAGGATTTAAGTTTGTTTTTTTTTCTATAAAAAATAAAATACAAAAAAATATCTTTATAACATTGATTAAAATAATTATTTTATAATCTCATTTTATAAATAATTTCAGTTTTTAATTGGAGTTTCAATAAAACATTAAATTGTTTGAGTCTGAAAAAATTTTCAGATCAAAAAATATGGCAATTAATTGAGACACTGACATGGAAAAGGTACAAAGTCACTAACATTAAATTGTACAGAAAGAAAAAAAATTAATCTGAACTACTTGGGCTTTAAATAAGCGTCTTTTTATAAAACATAATTTTTATTCTATGAATAAATTTAATTTATTTTTTTCACCAAATTATTAGGATATGTACTCACTGTCACAAGCTATGTGTTATTGAGAAGGTGTCAAAATCGTAGTTTGATATATTCTTAGTTTTGTATTTTGTTTTTATTGATACTATTACAAGTTATTTTTTTATTATTATGTTTTTACTGAATAAAAAAATTTTTTTTGGACTTATTGCTTTTCTCATATCATTGCCTCAATTGTTAATTTATATAATAAATGTCATCTAATAAAATTGTATAATGACAAAAAATAGCTTAGTTGTAAGAAAAACTCAGAAATCTGAAACATTTTTTTACAAAGTTTTAATATTGATGTGAAAGAAAAAGTAGCTTATTTAATATATTAGTTCTCAATAAGCTTTTAAGTCAAATCATATAGATATAATATCTTTAATTAGTGTAGAATAATCATAATTAAAACAAATATTTAAATTAAGATGCAAACCTTGAATATTAAAAATGTATAGCAGATTTAAGTAATGATTGAGTAGGATTAAAGTGAATATTTATTAGTGAAAGCAGGTTGTTTATAGAAGAAAGAGAATTATGATGCATTCTTAAAGTAACTTCAATGAGTTTTTAGACTACATTACTATTTTTCTATTCTGTTCATACCAAACCTCTGTTGAATTTCTGTTTATATATATAATTAACAATATTTTTAGTAACATACTTACAAAGATAAATATTTTTTTTATGACTAGATGAAGAATATTATTCAATAAAATATGATAGATTGTTAATAATAACTTCATTAATTCATCTTTAATAGTGGAAAATCTTTAGCAACAATTAACTTTTCATTTGGAAAATCCAGTGTTATAGTAAAATGAAAGGCCATGTTAGAAACAGCTAATATATATTCGCTTAGTGCAAACCAGGTAAATGCTAGAAAAAAAAAGGAAATAAATATAAATAAAACAAATTGAGAAATTGAATAATAGTGTTATACCTAAATCATGACAATAAAATCTGTGCTTGATGAAAAATAGTATCAATGTAATTGTTGATGCAATACAAATACCAAAAAGTATTTTTTTAATTTTGTAAGATTTAAACTGAAAATCAGTCATATTCTTATGTACCATTCCAAAAGTTTTGATCATAACTATCATATAAAGCAATGAGCTCAGCATAAATAAAATAAACAATTTTTCATGTATAGCTAAAAACAATTTTTTTTAATCAAGTTAAATATTTGCAAACAAAAAAAATATTTTAATAATATAACAATACATACGATAGTTTTCTCTATTTGATATGTATGTTACACCACAAATAGTAACTATTTCAATCATATTAAGCCAATAACACACATGGATTAATATGAAATTTATTACTTTATCAGATTTTGAAATTTTACTGATAAAATAATTGTAATACACTTGAGCTATTACCATGCGTGGCCCTACATGAAATGCTACAGCTATTCTCCATAAATATGTTTGAGGTGTTATACCAGTTATAGCACTAATTGAAGGAATGACATTGAAAACCTTTATTAAAATTAATATAAAAATCACAATTCAGTAAATAAATTTGTAAATATTATTAGTAATAACTCACTTGGCAATGTGTTTCATGTACATCATCATACTGAAAAATATAAGCACTGACCAGGCATATAAACAAAGTAACCAACGGAAATGATACACCTACAATAGCTAATTTTCGTATACTTAGGTTGAAAAATAATAGCATTTGTTTCAGGGAATCAGATGACTGATCATTAGCATGCAAGTGGGAAGTCATATTGATAAATTAATAGTTATGCCCAACCTGCTAAAATTAAATTATTTAAAACATCAATATTTTATAGAAATAAAGAATCATTATTTATTAAGTGTAATTAAATATTAAGACAATAATTTAAAATGAATCACTTCAATTGTATATATTAATTTATATCAGTTAGCATCCTTAAAATAACCAACTTAAGTTTTTCAAAAAAATTTACAAAATTATATTTTTATATCCTAATATATAGCATACCAAATTGTACTTTATAATTAACTTGAAACGTTTTTTAAAAAGTCAATTCAGTAATGAATCTTTGAGAACTTTTGACACCACTGTATGATCATTTTGCTTTAATTAATGATCCTATCGTAAAAATGTTTGCTACTACAAAGCGTTTGTTGAAATCTAAAAACCTTACAAATCATGTCAAAACTTTTAATATATAATTTTAGTTTTGAGCTAACAATAACAAAAATTTACATTAAAGGGTTAACATATTATGTTTGAATCACTATGAATATATTTATATCATAAACACGTATTAGGTGGTTGTATAATAAAATAAATTAAGGAAAGCTTGAAAAATGAAAACAGTTAAGCATAATTCACGTATTAGTGGTATATAATCGTTTTATCATTGATTTTATATATTATCAAGATAGTCTGAACTGCTGTTGCTTGTGGCATGTGTAACAGATGCAAAATGTCACGCGCCTGGCAAGTAGTCTGTAATAAATTATAACGATATGAAAGGAAGGAGGAACTTTAAGAAATAATAAGGTATTTTAATTTATTTTTTTTAAAGTACTATCCATTGTAAATTACTTTGGTGATACATTATTTTTAGACTTCTTTATAATTCATCGATGAGCATGAAACACACCATCGTTGTTTGTTTAAATCATCATCATAACTAAAAATGAAAATGCTATCATAATGATCTACAACTGTTTAAAACACAGATATAGATAATAGTTTATTATCTATATCTGTGGTTTAAAATGAAAAAATGTTATCACAATTCTCAATATCATTTGATAAGATAATAAAAGTTGTAAGTCTATTTTCTTACAATTATTTAATAAATTTTTGAATTGACAGCCAAAAAAAAAAAAAAATAACTTCTCGAAATTATGAAGCAACTTTCTATTTTTCTTGATGGAGCATCATGTCACATAGTGGTATGAAATCAAAATTATTCTAAATCTAAATGTTTTTTATATAAAAAAAATTATTTTTAGTTTAATATTTGATTATCAACTACACTTTTATTTGTACAATAAGATATATATATAATTTTTAAAGACAATTTAATAAATTATCTAAGGTATAATAACAATAAACAAGTCTCATCTATAGTACGCTTAACACCTTTCAATGGAAGAATACATCTCACCAAAGTTAAAGAAAATTATATGTATTATTATACAATAAAACCTTTGGGGCAAAGCCATTATTTAATTTACCATCAACAAAAATGTTATATTAATTTCTCCATTCTAGCTTAATCAGTGTAACTTGTACATTATTAAGATTTGAAAAATCAAAAATTTTTTTACAGTAAAATTTAATTTTTAGACTTAAAAATTTTGGTCTCCAAGTTATTGATATAGACGAAATTCCTGAAAATTAGTTTTTAAAGTTAACTAAATTGCAGGGATTCAAATTTCATGGTGTTTGAATTGAAACCATTTGTTTAACAATTATTTTTCAATACATTCTTAATAAAATGCTTTTAGTAGATTATATTTTTGTTTTAACAATATTTTAAGTTTAAACCAAATTATTTTTACAAGAAATCAAAGAAATTGTTGAAAATCATATAATTCTTATATTTTAACTATATTAAAGGTGAATATTTTTCATAAACATGGGAAAAACTGGATAATTAGACCTACTAAAACAATTAAAATTTAAAGCAAGTTTATTAAGAAAAAATAATCTGCAAAATCACGTCATCTTAGTTAATTGTTACATTTTAAAAAAATTATATCTTTCGTTAGAGTAATAAATCAATTATATTATACTTGAAAATTTTAGTCCTAAATAAAAATAAAATTTTAACAGTAATGCAGCAAGAGGGGTCACTAAGACCATTCCTATTCTTCATTGGTTAATATACATTGGATATATAAATTCTAAAATGGAGTGGTGAGTAAATAAAAGGACTAAATATAGAATAAAAAAAAAACTAGCTATGTCACTAAACAAGTTTTACCTGAACCATATTGTACTTAACTATGAACAATTTACAATAAATTCTTTCAAAATATGTATTCATAAAAATATTATATTTACACATTACCTTTAAAAGAAATTTGTTTTAATTAAAAAAAAAAAAAAATAACAAAACCTTAACTCGTCATCGTTAAATAACAAATATTATTAAAGGCTACATTTCATTGATAATTAATAATTTGTTTGCAAAAATGCATTTAAAAATAAATAATACATTTCTGAAATGATGAAGTCCAACTACTTGTAATTGTAAAATAGTTTTGTAATAATTTTTTAACATTTAAAAATAACTTACACTATTTCATAAATTTTATGAATATGTAACTATTTAAAAACAGAAAATTTCATCAAGGAACATACTTTTATTTACAAATTACTGTTATTTATTAAAAACTAAATGCAATAGTATCGATTTTATTCAAAAAATCAATTTTAAGTCAGATATTAAAAAAAAAAAAATTTCAAGCATAAAAAATGATTATATACATGTAAAGAATTATTTAAGGTTCTTGTATAACATATAATATTATTTCAAAAATGAACAAATATATTTTTTTTTGTATTTAATGACAATTATACAATCAATATAAATGTATCCTAAAAATAGATAAATTAAATAGCTTTATTATTAAATTGGACAAAAATTAAAAGAAGTACTTAAATAAATATTACAGTATTTGATTATGTAAAGAATTATGACATTTCAAAAAATTTTAAATTACTTATATATTTATTTAAACATATAATGTATCAAAATAAATAATTAACTTCTTATAAGTATATTCAAGAAAAATAAAGATTTCTTTTATTAAAATATTCTCAAACAAAAAAAATTTTTTTTTAATTTATACTATAGTATATTTTTGTTTAACAATTGACATTTCCTTTTCAATATCAAAATAAAGTTAACGAGCCTAAATTGCCAAAATCGCATGATTATTATTCTTAGTATAAAACTAGTAGTATGTATACAACTAGTATATGCTTAAATGAAACAGTAAGTTTTTAACAGAAAATAACCATATAATAGTTATTTTAGCATTTCAAACAAATAATAAAATTAATTACAATTTCTTTTTTTTGCAAAATTTTAAAACATGAGAAAAATGTACAATTTTTTAAAAATGTTTTATTATTTATTTACAGATCTAATAGTGAACATCTGAGCTTAATTTAGTAAATTATCATTATCTATAATTATTAAAACAAACTTAACTTAGTTAAAAATGGTAGAGTAATATTGTTAAAACATTAAAATAAAGTAATTTTAGCAAACATTTGTTTAGTTTATGTTAAAATCATTAAGCTAAGGATAATTGGTTGAGTTATTTTGAACTCACATATCTAATACATTTAAAGCAAACATCATATCTATGCAAGAATTACCAAGAAAAATTAATGAAACTTAAATGAGATCCTCACACCTAAACGCTAATCCGTCAACACAATTAAAAATCAATAGAAAAAAGGTAGAGTAAAATGAAAAAATTCCAAAGAAAACCATAAAATTCAAAGATATAAGGGTTGAGACAAAAATTTAAGTAATTAATTTTTAAAGTTTTACTTTCATAATAAAATAATATAAATACTGCACTATACATCAGAAAGATAATGTCCTAAAGTCAGAGGATTTTTATTATTTATCATTTTATTTGGTCTATCATTTAAAAGTGCTCCATATTCCATTTCATTTTCTTGAGAACTTCCTGCCTGAGTATAATCAGTGGTAGATATAACAGTAGTATTGCGTTGTCTACACAAATATGGCGTGTCAACTGGAGAAGGTGTATCGCGACCCTAAAATTTTATATTGATTTAAAATGTTACTTCTAATATGTAAGTACTATATACTTTATATATATACCTGCTTAGAAGGTCCACAACAAGTTTGTAACTGACAAGGAATATCAGTTTTAGGACAATCCAGAACACAATCTTCAGTGGGTGTTTCATTTCTATTTTCAGTAACCTTAAATGTTTCAATAGAAATTTTCATAATTTTTATTATTTTAGAGTTTTCAGTAACAGTTTTGTTGTATTTAGATATTGATACTAGTAAAAAGTATTACTTAATTCAATTTTATGGCTCTGATTCTTAGCATAAGTGATAATTTTTTTTATTTTTGCAGGAAAAAATTAAAAAAATTGAAATCATAAATATTGATTCTAGAACTATAGCTGCATTACTTATTCTTAAATAGTCTTTATTTTACAGCATACTTTAAAAAAACTAATATTAAAGGAACGTTTCAATATTAATAATATCGGAAAAGTATTAATTTTATTTTTCAATATTAGTAATTTTAGTACCACTACTTCAGTTTCTATATAAAGTATAAGTGTCAAAATGATAAATGTGTATATTATCATCTTAATAAAAAAATTAAAAATTTGTATAGATTTCCATGTTTTTTTTACTACTATTTTTATAATTTTTTTATTTACAACTGTATTTCAATATTTATAATTAATAAAATTATGAATTTAAAATTTTGCACCAATAATTAAATTGTTATTATCTGCTGACAACAATATTTTCAATGTATATTTCTAAAAATACAATTAAAATTATTACAATTAGATTTTATTTTTAATTTTGAGTGCACTTCTTGTTTATAAAGAGTTATATTTATTTTTGACAAATTGAGTCATATAGCAAAGCCATTTTTTAAAGAGATAGCCAATTATTTCATTAAATGATTGAATTATTTTCATTTAATTTGACCATAAAAAACATTTAAAAAAATATCTAGTATCCCTAAAACCATCATTTGTTTATTCTAATATCAATTGAAGAAGTTTATAAAATTATTTCATCTAAATCATGGTAAATTTGACTATACTAATTCAACCTAGGGTCATTACATATTATATATGCCAATTTGAGTGATTTGGACGATGGTATTATACCCATATTAGGAAAACATATTATGTCTTATAAAATTATGTTTAAATCAAGATAGAGTAATTTACTTTGTTTAAAAACATGAAAATTCTTCTTCATCAGTTTTCTTCAAAGAGTAAAAGGCCATCTAATTTATAAAAACATCAGCATAAACTATTTCTAAATAAAAATTTATTTTTATTACTTTTTATTTTATTTTTCTTTCCTTTTTTTTATAATAATATAAAAAAAATTGTCACTTAACTTTAAAAAAACAATTTTTCAACTATGTTAATTTCAGTAAAATACCAACTAAAATCTAGCTCTAACACAATATTTATAACAACTAAATTTTACATCTTCTTTAGTTTTATTATAAACAAAATAATGTTATGTGTTTTGCGTTAAATGTAACTGCTAAAAAGGCATAATTATAAAAAAATTCAATATTCAGTTAAATTTTAAGTATTAAGTCATATTTAAAGACAAATGTTTTACTGTATTTCCATACTAATTACTAAAACAATGGTTTAACTAATTGAAGACCTTGGAGCAATAACTAAATGTGTCATTTAAAAAAGGTTATAAATTAAAATTTATTTATATTGAGGTATAATACAAAATATGTCATAAATTTAAATAAAATAGTTAGAAATGTTTGATTATTAAACCAATAGATTCACCTTTTTTATATTATTATTAAATGTAGTTTTGATCATAAATTGCATGTGTTTTGTTGATGTTCCGAGATTTTAAATTTTAATAGTAGTTAGCCTTTTTTATATTTATAGTTAAATAAAATTAGTCATTATTAATGAAACCTATGCCCATACTAGAAGACAGTAATAAAAAAAACAAATTTACATTTATTATATATTTTGTGTGGAATAAAATTAACTTTTAAATATCATTTTAAAGTTTATATAAAGTTATCTATAAAAGTTCAATAAAAGAATTTAAATTAAAATAATTTGAAGAAAATGTTAATTATACTAATATAAATTTAGAAGTTTCATATTTAAGTAAATTAAAAGCTAATATGTTAACTACTTTTTATTTTTGATATTTAAATTCTGTAAAGAAATAACTTGGATAATTTTTACATATTTTACCCAATCTCATTAAAACATATATTTCTAGATAATGAGTACTGCTGAATATTAAGATAGATAACAGTTCCTTTCAAACAACTCATGTGACACATAAGATTTCTTTAAAAAATTTAGGTCAACCAATAAAAGTATTATATGTAATAAGATAAGCTATACTATTTGAATACTGTTAATATAGCTATCAGTTCACTCACCTCTACTTCAACAAATTCAGGCTGAATAGTAGTTGAGTGAATACCTTCATTGTGAAAAAATTCTTTAACTTTTTCTGCTAATTTCATGTATTCAGATAAATTTCTGCATCTAAAATGTTAAAATGTGTTCATCTAATTCAAAACTGTTAATTTTTTTTTTTTTTAATTTTAAATAAACTTCAATTTTCTACCTTATGTGAGCAGAAGCTATTATTCTATCTCCAGCTAATTGCCATACATGAAATTCATGAACTGCTAAAACACCATCTACTCTGTCTAAGAGTCGCCTTTGTATAGCATCTACTTGAATATGAGTAGGAACTGTTTGAAGCAGGATCAATGCTGATTCTTGCAATAGAGGCCAAACTGAATGTAAAATAATAATAACCATTAACAAACTAAGAGCAGGATCAACTTTGTCTTTCCATTCATAATCAGTTAACCAAACAATCTAAAAAAACAAATTTAAATAGTATATATTTAGTTAATAATCTTGTGTAATTTGAGGAAAAATTTTTATTAAATATAATATACCAAAGCTGATACAATCACAATTACTGAGCCCAATGCATCTGCAAGAAGATGTAAAAAAACTCCCCTCATATTCATGTGCCCAGCTGATGATTCATGTGAATGTATGGTCGGCACATTAAAACGATGATCATTATCATTATCATCAGTAGCATTAGCACTAGCTCCAGCACTAACTAATTGAGTGAGTCTTGTATGGCTACGTGATATGCCCCCATGTGAATGTCCATGGCCACTTCCATGAGCTAAAATAAACACCACAATCAGTATATTTTACTAGTTAAAAATACTTTATTCTTTTCTTAAGGAATATAATTTGAGAAGTCTACAAATATTAATACTTTACAATAAAATGCGTAGGATATTTATATTATAACTTAAAGTAAATTTTTTTAAACAAGTGGCACTAATAAAAAATTAATCTAAAAAAAAAATAACTATACAAATTTAATTTAAATAATAAAAATTATACACTTACCATGAAATAAAAACAATCCCAAAATATTAACAAATAATCCTAAGGTTCCTACCACAGCAATAAACTTTGGATCATGTATTGGTTTTGATTCTATAAACCTAGAACATAAATAAAATGCTATTAGAAAATATGGCATAAAAACCAATTGTACATTTAATGTACCTCTTACATGCTTCAACAGTAATAGAAAAACAAAGAGCAACTAAAAATACAGCATTAACTAAAGCTCCTAATACTTCAGCCCGAGCCCATCCAAATGTATTTTTTGACCATTTTTTAGGAGACATCTGAACAATTAATTAAAAAACACAGATTAAATATATATAAGCTACGCAAATGATACAATTTTTATACTTCAATTATACATTTATAACATCTACAATACAGTGAATTAAAATTCTCTGAAAATATTTTTATATTGCAATATGACGAGTGGTCATGAATGTTTTGACAAATACTATAACTTTTGATTCAGTGACTAATCTGAAGTACTTTTATTTTTTATTTTTTTTACGCTTTAGAAATAAAAAATTAATATAAATTATATTTCAAAAAATATATAGATTTAAGAAAAAAGCAATAATTGGTTAACAAGATTTCATAGTAATATTTTATAGTAAAATTTTTTTTTGTGAAAATTTAAATTAATTTTTTTATTTATATATATTTAGTGGCATACTTAAGGCATAGCTTAAGGTATTTTTTGAATGGTAGCTCTTTTTAGTATTATTAGTTCAAAATTATTGTTTAATATATTTAGAAATATTTTTTGCACAAGGTTTTTCAAATAAATATAATAAAAAAATTATGTATACATAGAAAATACTGTATGTAAAATTTAAATGATATAAATCATCCTAAAAAAATGATTGAAATCTGAATACATTTATTTTTAGTATAATAAATAGGATTTGGATTTCAATATATATTAAATTTTTTTTTTAATTAACATAGACAATGATTTTTAAGTACAAAATTTGATTTATATAATTGAGAATTCAAAAATGAAACTTTTTAAATACTTAGAATTTTTTTCATTAGTAGGTTAGTTTAACATTTTTTAGAGCACATTTATGTAAAATTAAATTTTTTTTCTTTTAATAAAATTAGGTAAATTAAAAGTGTATTCGGCAAAGTTATAAAAACTTTTTGATTTTATATTATATATAAAAATATTCATAGGTACAATCTAGAGTGTCTAAGAAGGCTAATCCCAAAAAATAATAATTATCTGTAGTTTTATACTGAAATATTTTTGTAAATAAGTTAGACTTCCTAAACATTTTGTTCTAATCAATATATAGTGTTTAAAATATTTTTTTTTTTAACTGTGTAATACTTTTTGAACTATTAATAATATTTTTAATACAAAATCAAATCAATGTAGAGCTTTTTAAGATAATATTTTTTTGTTAAAGAAATGTTGTATTAATATATTATGTAATTTTTAATTTCTTAAATCATTTTTATACTTTTAAGGCAATTTTAGAAGTTATAAGGACATTTTTTAATGTTTATAGGACATTAAAAATTTTTACCAGAGTAATAAATATTAATTAGTAATAATAGTGAATGTATATGCAATATTGGATACTAAGCAACAGATAGGGGCAGAATAATTTATCCTAGGAGCACCAAAGAGCTAAATATGCCACAATAGACAATATCAAACATCAGTATTTTTTATAAAGAAATAGTGAGAAGAAAATGTAATCTTTCACACTAAATATTAGTTACAGACACGTTTATTCATATAAATTATCATTGTTTGAAAGAATATCTAAATGAAATGAATAACGCATATAGTAATATTATTATTATCCTTCTAGTGGATCTATAATATCTCTTTGGTATTACTTTTCTCAAGTCAAAATAAATAGTAGATATTGAAAAATTCTTAAATAAAAGCAATATATCAAATTCATTAAATTAAGTTTGTTTTACATAGCAGATAATAACAAAAAAAAATACTGTAAAATAGTCACTGTATCAAGTTAAGAGATTTGTTAGAATATGTAAGATCATTCTATATATAATTACCTACATTTCTGGAAGTTCATTTTTGAACTGCACTATTGGCCGTACTAATACATAGCTGGTTTTGTTTTAAAAACAAAACAATAATATAACTCAGTTAGTTAATGAAAAATTAATTTTGAATTAGCAAGACTAATGTAAAAAGGAATAATACAGAATATAATTATTAGATCTCTTAATTAAATGAAATGGACTGAGCAAGATGTAAAAAATATATTTAATTGTAACTAATAAATTGATTTAACAAAATTTAAGGTAAACTGAATTGTAAGAGTTATAAGATTATTCATATAAAATATAACTTACTTTAACAGATAAATATGCAACTACTAACGCTGCAATATCACTAAGCATATGAAAACTATCAGCAACGAGTGCCATTGAATTGGTAATATATCCAACAATAATTTCTACCAAGAAGAAAAATGTTGTTAGCCAAAACATTGTTATAAGACGGCATTTTTTCCCACTATAACGGCCCATTGTTAAATCTATAATAAATGATTAAGAACAATTATTCTTTTAAATAATAAGTTTAATAATTAAAAAGTAAATTCATAATGGTTTTGATAAAATATATTATTTTTGATTACCATTAAAATGTAACTCACTTATTCTAAAATGAAATTTCTGCTAAGATTTCCTGGTTATTCCTAGGAAAGAATACAATTTTTAAAATACCAATTGGTAAAATACAGTTCAATGTTGCTATAGAATACAATTATACCATGAGGAGTCAATATAAAAAAAAAATAGATAAATATTGTCTGTCATTATTCTAGTATGAAATGTATACTATACGATTTCATAAATAAATTACATCTATAATAATTAATCATTGGCTAGGTAAAAATATAAAAAAACTATCAAATAATTGTTATATATAATAGGGTAGTATAGCAACTTCTCTTACACCTATAAAATACCGTGACCCGTAACAACAAAGCACATCGCCGACCAATGCTTTGTTACTGTTTTTACAAATAAAATCGTATTTTACAACACACTAGACGACTACAGTCTACTAAATATAAGTACACGATTTACGTATAAGGAATATCGCGTATTACTATCACAACTGATAATAATTGGTTACACTGATAATGGACTGTGGAATCATCGTCATTATAACGATCAGCCTTGAACTACACTAGCAATTGCAATACACAGGAATACTACATACTAAAGTTAACCAAAATCTATGATTATTATAGTTCGTGGTGATACCAAGACGTTTTCAAATCATTTTATATTATTAAATATATTCATAATCCTTTTGGTAGTAGAGAGATTTACGGTTTACAACATAAAGTTTCTGATCAATATTTTTAATATGATACTTAATACATAAAATTAAAAGTTATTTATTTTTTAGAAAAATTTTACACAAATAAATAAATCTTTCTAAAAAAATGTTTTACCTACGCTTCTACATTTAAAGTAAAATAATATGTCAGTATGATAAATATTTTTAAGTGTTAAGCAGCTTTAAAAATCATAATTGTGATGTTATTGAAAGAGCCCTTTGTCATAATATCAAATCTATGTCATTAGATTAGTGAAATAAAAAATTATTTTTTTGAACAATAATACATTTTTTTTTTTCGAATAATCTTAATTAAGAACGATGTGACTCATAACTCACATAAACTAAAGCTATCATCCAACTAACTAAATTCTAAAACAATGAGTAACATCGTTGTAAAAAGAAATTTTTCTTATAAAGTAGTTACAAATTCATTAGTTTGATAATCTTTTTTTAAGAAATCACCTAATCACGAAATGATAATCGAAAAAAAATTATCAATCAAAGTCCTCCCCACCTCCAACTATAATTAGTAATATACTTCTCAAAATTAAATAGATTATTTAAAATTCAATAATACATTTTATCCTTTTAGAGGATAATAGTTAAATGTTATATAAAGTACAAATATAAGATAGGTTTTTAATTTTACTCTTCGTAGTTATCTTGAGTACACTTTAACTTAGTAATATTATTAACTCAAATTGCCACAAATTATAACGTACAGCTTATAAATTAAAAATTACAACATTATTACATAAAATATTATCGACTATTGATAAATCAACTATAAAATTTTAAGTACTTTTTTTAACTATTATATAAATGAGATGTATTAAATTATGTTAGCAAATTTAGAAAACTGAACTTTAAAATAAATAATGAAAAATTTATACACAAAAATTCTTAAAAGTAAAACGAAAGTCATGTATAATTCTTTGTTTTATATAATATTTCTCTAGAGCTATTTTATTAAATACGCCACTTTTAAGTTAAATGAAATATTTTTTTTAATGAAACAATTTTAAAACGATAATAATGAAATACAGTATCCATTTTTTTATTACTAATAAAAACTATTTATAAAATTATACTTTTATGTAGTAAAATTATTTTAAGTTAATTTTAAGTATACTAAATATAACTTTTTTTACTTTTAATAACTACTAGTTACCCTTTTATATCTTTTATTAACTTTTTTAAATTTAGGAAGATTAGCTTTTGACTTTTTAAAAATGAACAACTGTATTGCTCAATCTAAATTTTTAGCTTAAACGATTTTCAAAAAAATATATAAATGTTAAGGTTTTTACAATAGTATAGCAGTGCTGGAGTCTAAAAATACAACTACATAATACAACTACATGTATAAGCCGTTATCATTAATACAAGCATTATACAGCCATATATATTAATATGGTAGATGGGGACTCTGTTTCTCCGCCTTCGAGTCTTATACACTTTTAGCACCTCCTGAATTTTTGCCTATATTTTGCTAATATTATATCTAATCATACAACAAATAATAAGATAGGAGGGATTATGCATTCAATTTCCTCCCCGTAAATAATCTATTCCTACGTCCCAGGCTGGAATAGGAAGCCAATGTCCTTTGTGTCGGTTTAAATGATCATTATCGGCCTAAATAGATCAGTTTTTTACAATTGCAAGATTTTTAAATTTAAGTTGAAAAATGATACGTATAAATAAAATATATTTTATTAGATTTTCAAAAATTATGAACTTGCAAGAGATATTCTTGGTGTCATGACCCTCTCAATCAGAAAGGTGCAATATAAATTATGTTTGTTTTAAAAATCATATTAATTTTATACTATGATATTTTTTAAAAGGTATTCTGTTCCTAAATTTGCAGTTTTAAAAATAATTGTATTCCGTTGTCAAATTTAATAATATGACTCCCTCCAAAATTTTTTTCTGGATTCGTGCCTATGTACATTTTTTTTATAATTATTTCTGACAGTATCTCTGTGAATACTTATAAAATTTAATTTGTCACTTAAAAATTTCCATAAAGATAACTAAGATGATTAGATTGAAATAAAAATCATCATTACGTCAAGTAGCACTTAACAAATATTTTGTCGCTTTACCTATTCACACATTATGAATTGAAGAAACTATCATTTATTTCAAATATAAAAAATAAAATACAAAAGGGATCCAGTAAAGTAAGGCTAAGAAATTTATTTTCAATTAGTATTGATTGATATTTAACAAAATCACTGTCGTAAAATGCTTCGATGTGTATTCAAAAATATTTAAAAAAAAATGAACATACCTACCAAAACTTACACCAATTTTGACTTATAAGATCGATTACTCGACTCAAAGAAAATTCATCGATTATAATAAAGACAAATATTTGTCTTTATTAATCACATATTATATTAAACAATTTTTAATTTGATATAATTTATATTAAAGTATGCCGTTACTTTTCCAAATATTACAAAAACGACCATTTTTACCGAAAATTGTATAACTTTTGGCTTTAATGCCTGACAATTCTTAGATATCAAGTTTACGGATAATTTTTCTTTTATCATATTAAAGTACATTGTATAGGCTATAACCCCTGATGTACGTTTAAAGAAGACAGTTTTTTTTAAAACATTATCAAAAATAGAAAAGAAAAAAAAAATTTAAATGATTTTAAAGTACCATAGTACCTTGGTTAAAGATTGGATTTACAAAAAATATATACGTCGGTAAATCTATAGTATAGTCAATAAAAATTTTGATCAGTCCTTAAAAAAAACTTATTTTAATATAAAGTAGAAATTAAAAATATTACCATTTACACTGTTTTATGACAATTGTAATTTTTTTAAATACTTCCCTTATTAGGAAAAATGAGGTATCTTTTTTAAAATTATGGCGCTAATAGTTTCAACTACACCCAAAGAAAAACCTCAATCAAAATTGAAAGAGAAATTTTATCAAGGGTTTATGATAATGTTTTATTAATACGAACAGAATAACTAATCTTATAAATAATTATTGTTCAAGACAAGAAAAAAAAATATCATATTGATAAATATATCATTGATTCAATAGTAATGATATATTTATCAAATTGAACAATGAATTTATTATATAGATCGAGGTTTTTCTCTGGGTGTAGATAGGTTTTGTGATCTTTTGACATATCATGGAGCAAAATTGGTCCAAAAGGAGTTGGTCAGCTTGACACAAAAAAAAAAACGGTAGAGTAAAATTAATAGCTTCTAAGCTATGCAACAGGATTTAAACGTTTTATTACATGTATATCATACTAAATACAAAGGTGTAATTTCAATAAGATGTAGAGAAAGTTTAATTAATATCTTATAATTTTTACGTGTTATTAAAAAAGTTTGGAGAAGTCGATGACTTATAAAAATTTTAAACATAATGATAATGTATCAAATATATAAAAAAAACATACATTAAAAAAATTACATAAAAAAAACCCCAGAACGGTGGGGTTACGGCATAATTGGGTTCAATATAGATGATATCTGACAGTGATTATAATCACTATCATAAAAAACGATTCGATGCAAATCTGTAGATAGTCTTTAATTTAAAAAAATTGATTGATTATTCTAAAAGCAAAATTAACTCCTATTTCTATCATTATTCCTAATTAGTAGTTTATTTATAAGTATAATTAATGAATAATATCTATTAAAGAAATTCAAAGTAGTATGATAAAGATATTTAATAATTTAGTATTGTAATTTTTTCGGAGAATTTATAAAAAATTATAAAGTAGTATATAAATTGAAGGGCTTGACACAGAACTTTTTAGATAATAATTAGTTGTTAACTATGAATAAATGATCTGCAAAAAATATTTTATCAGAGTAAAAAATATACTTTTGTTATTCAATTTTCGTGCTGATTTCAAATCAGCAATTATATGTTTTCCGTTACAATAATTTTTTATTACTAATTAGTTAAAAACTATAGGATATAACTCTAAGAAATAGTTCTGAATATTTCAACATAGAAATTAAAAAGAAAGAATAAAAAATAATTGAAAATACTAACAAATTGTTTTTAAATTATTACTGATTTTTATTTTAAATATTTTAACTATAATCATTGCAAAATATCATTTTTAACCTAATTTTTTAATATTTTAAAATTGATTTTTTGAAAGTTCATAATAAAAAAAAGTTAATTTGTTACCATAACATTTCACCGTGAAAACAAAACTAAAGCCTGAAATTTGTTTTTATTATATTAAAGTATATTACATAGATTTTAATTTAAAGTATATATTAAAGTGTCAGTATTTCCAGAAAACATTCAAAAATTAAGTTGAAACAGTTCTTTTTTCTATATGCATTTTTAAATTTTGAACTCCCCTGTATATAGGAAAATAGTCTGATTAAAAAAAAATAGTATATTGCATAAAAGAATAATATAAATAGTATTTATCTTAAAAAATTATAATGATTTTTTAAAAAGTTATTGTGTTATAAAGTTAAAAGTAAAAAAAGAGAATTTTTTTACAAAACTTGTATTTTTTTAATTAACTTTAATGTCTGTTTTCACCGTGAAGACAAAATAAAGTCCGAATTTTTTTTTTCCAAAATAAAGTATATTACCTTAGCTTTAATTTAAGATATATATAAAATTTTCAGAGTATATCGTATAAAAGAAGAATATAAATAGTACTTATCTTACAAAATTATAACGATCCATAGATTTTTCAAAAAGTTATAGTTTTATTAAGTTAAAAATATAAAAAAGAATTTTTTTACAAAAATTGTATTTTTTTTATAAACCTTGATTTCTGTTTTTACCGTGAAGACAAAATAAAGTCCGAATTTTTTTTTTTTATATTAAATTATATTACATAAGTTTTAATTTAAGGTATATATAATAGTGTCATTATTTCCGGAAGTTATTTTTTTGTGAAAAAGTTGTTATTTTGAATCCCCTTGTGAGCATCTAAAGGGTCAGATTTATAAAAAATATATACCAAATGATAGGTAAAGACATCATCCAACTATAAAAAAAAATTATATTGATTTGATCGTTGTTGATAAAGTTATAGCAGTTTTAAATAAAAAAACCTAGCACAGGGAGGTCGCGCCACAGTGGTGATGTGGCATAGTTGGATCAAGTATAATGATATCTGACAGTGATTAAAATCACTATCAAAAAAAAACGCTTCGATGCAAATCTTTAGATAGTGTTTAATTTTAAAAAATTGGTGGATTATTCCAAAAGCTTCATGATCTGCTAGTTCATTATTAATATCCTAATTAAGATAAAGTATGTCGAATAAAAAAGTGATTATTAAAAAATATTATTTCTCATAAAAAAATTATGTTGATCCATACACTTTTCAATATGTTATAGCATTATAAAGTTAAAAATGTAAAAAATAAAATCGAGAATTTTCACACAATAATAGCATTTGGTAGCCATTTTCACCGTGAAGACAATGTAAAGAACGAAATTTTTTTTTTTGCATAATAAAGTAAATTACATTAGCTTTAATTTAAGATATATATAAAAGTGTCAGACTTTCCGGAACACTTTCAAAAGTTAAGTTGAAAAAGTTCTACTTTCTACATGCATTTTTTAGAATTGAACCCCCCTCGTATATAGGGAAATGGTCCGATTTATAAAACAAGTACGTCGAATTAAAGAGGTATATAAATATTATTTCTCATAAAAAAATTGTATTCATCCATACATTTTTACAAGATTTATAGCGTTAAAAATATTAAAAAGAATTTTTTTACTAAAATCGTATTTTTTTTTTATTAACTTTGATGACTGTTTTCACCGTGAAGACAAAATAAAGTAAGAATTTTTTTTTTCCAAAATAAAGTATATTACATTAGCTTTGATCTAAGATATATATACAAGTGTCAGTATTTCCGGAACACTTTCAAAAGTTAAGTTGTAAAAGTTAATTTTTTGTGAAAAAGTTGTCATTTTAAATCTTCCCCTGTAGGCTGATAAAGGGTTAAATTTATAAAAAAAATATACTAAATGATAGGTAAAAACATTAAACATATATTAAAAAAAAATTATATTGATATGTTCATTTTTAAAAAAGTTATTTCAATTTTAAGTAAAAAAAATTGAAAAAATTTCGAAAATTAGCGATTTTTAAATTTGTAATTTTTATGGAATTTTCCCCATTTAAGGGGAACGAGGGAAATTTTTTTCAATTTTTGAGGGTAATATCTTTGACTAGATACGATTTGTGATCTTTTGACGTATCATTGAAAGAAATCGGTTAGGTGAGAATTGAAAAAAGTGGTAACAGACACAAAAAAAAACACATCATAGTAAAATTAATACCTTCTCACCTTCGATTCGAAGCTGAGAAAATTAGCAGCCCAAAATTACCGTTTTAGACGCTTTTTGAGAAAGTTAAGTAAAATTTTTACTGAATTAAATGGAGAAGGCAATAATTCTCATAAATATAAAAAATAATCAATGTATTTTCTATAATATTTATTTATCATAATATTTTATGATGCAGTACTCTATAAAAAATATATGAGGTTTCATAAAAAAGAACACAGTTAACTTTATTAATATCTATACAATATGTATATTTTAAATGATTTTAATAGTATAATAGTAATATTATTAAAAAATAAAAACAATTTTTTTAATAATAATTACCATATTAAAACTTGGAATGTGTGAGTAATTAAAAAACAATATTATCAATGAAACTGATTTGATTAAAATTAAATAATTAACGTAAGTAGCTATAAATAAAAAATTATAAAATAAACTCATCTGCACTTATCAATAAAATAAAATTTATGGATATGATTAAATATAATATCTATAGCATAAATCAAAAAAATTAAAATAAAGTCTTTCAGTATTTTTAATATGTATAAGTGATTAAAAAAATATTATTATAATAATTCTATTTAAAAAAAAAAAAGATTATGCTTGTTGAGATATTTATAAATTTAAAGAAAATTTATACTAAAAATCTAAAAAAATATCCTACAGCTTAAATAATTTTTTTTTTTTTTAAAAGGATAAGTTTAGATAAAATTCAGAAAACTAATAATATTTATCTACCATTAATTTAAATATTTGAATTAATAATATTATTATAATAGTATTCTAATTTTTACAATTTTTGTATGCACTGTTAATACTTTTACATAATAGTGAATTAAGAAATATATTTATTTATTTGCCATTAATATTTTTGAAAATTTTATGACAAATAATATTATTTAAATAATGACATGCTTTAATTACACACAAGTATACTAAGATATATTATAACATTAATGGAAACAATAAACTTTCATAGTATTACAACATAAATGTGTACAGGTATTTAATAAGAAAAAACAGATAATTTATAATGAAAAATGGAAACTCGTTTCCTTACTTTTTGGATACTCTGTATTTAGTTAATGATTTACTGTATTTTTAAAGGAAAATTACAAAGAGTTGATTTTTTAATATATTTAAAATGATTTTGTGTAAATTTTGTAGATATTATTGCACTACCCCAATTTAAATAATAACATCTAATATTTTAAAGGATTTTTTATCATAAATTTGGTAGTTGAAAAATATATATGGTAATATAGTTCTAATTTTGGGCAATAAACATGTTTTTTAAGCAATATCATAATTTGATGTTTTGGACATTGAAATTTAGTTATAAATGTAAACAGTATTTTTAAGCATCATTAAATAAAGAGTTAATAAAATATAAAATTGTGATAATTATATTTACCACTTTTAATTTTGGATATAAATTAGTAGATTTGGATGTTCTTGCATCAAGATCTTGTATTTTTAAGTACCCATAATCCAAATTTTGTAAAATAAATAAAATTTTCAAAATCTAACTATAAATTCTATTTTTTTTTTTTATGGGTAGATTTTAAAACTTAATATAACAAATAGAAATTTGATTACTAAAGGATTGGTCATTAAAGAAATTTAAAATTTAATGAGTATGTTATTAAATATCAACATATAAAATCAAAAAAATGCTAAAATATACTGGACTAATACACTAACTTAAATTAAATTATTGTATAATTTTTTAAATATATGTCATATAAACAAAAACTAGTATATATAATATATATGTCTATTTATGTCATTCAGAGTATAGTACCTATAGATAATATTAATAAATATTTATTTACATTCAATAATATAATGAAATATAATGAGGTAAATTGATAGTATAATAATTGCACAAGCTAAACAATGCTTATATATTGCACTTAATTTAATTTAAAATAAAATTTAACAACATTTAAAACTATTATTCCTAAAGGAACACGTTTTTTATACATAAAAATTTCATGTAATTTTACAATTAATAGTATATTTTTCAGTAATCGAATTAAATATTATATCATGTATTCTTAGTGATTAATTGAACTAATATAGACACAGCAAATTTAGACTCTAACAAACAATATGTTTAGAATTTTATTCTAAAATTAATAAATGATTAACATTAAAAGTAAAATTTTACAATAACATTGCCAATTTCACGATATTAACATATGGCACAAATAATGTATTAAATTAATACATTGTTAATCATTGTTGAAATAGTCACATACACTTTAGTGGATCAGTCCTATTTTATATCCTTAAATAGATAATTAATATTAGTTTTTCATTGTAGCAGACTTTTTATAAATATAAAAAATATAAATAAATATAACTGAACTTTGTGAGTTAAAGAATAAGAACAATTTATGAAAGAATTAGTTACCTCAAATGCCAAAAGGATCTGCTACAGGTTGCGGTTGAGTGCTTGAAAGTGTAGCAACTCCAGGATTACCACCACCTACTGTACTACCACCAACAACAGAGCCTGGTTGTACACCCTTAAGTAATAATAGAACACGATAAAATTAACTAATAAATATTATTACTATTATTGAATAAATTAATAGAAGTTTATTTTGAAGGTGGTTCTAAAAACAAGATGGAGCATCATACTACACCTAACAAAAGTTTCATCATTTTAGTCAGTAATTTTGTTTTCCATCTACTATTGGTACAATCCTATTTACTTTAAAAACATGTCTCTTGAACATTAAAATAAAATTATTTAAATGCCAAACAATATAATTAAAAGAATTAATTTAATCGATGATAAATAATATTAATAGGTACTACTCTTTAAATTACTATATAAATTAAAATTTATACATTTTAAAACAGTTTATTTGTTTGAATGAATGAGCTATTTTATGATAACTATGGTAAAACTTGAACATTTTTCAATAAAAGCTAGTCTTTACTATTTGACAAGTCTTGATATAAACCTCAAAAGAAGCTTTTCTACAAAATTGCTTTGCCTTCTCCTCTTTTCCCAAAAATTACAATTTATTTGTGGGGGTTACAAATATATTTATGACAGCTTAAGCTCTCACAGCTCTTATACAAACTACACTAATGTTAGTTTTATTGATGATAAAGTTATTAAACAAAATTCTGATAAATTAATATGTACTTCTCAATAAAATGTTTATGTTAAGTATCATGTTATACGGTAGGAAGATATAATTGTATTAGGTAACATAAAAAAATCTATAACCTATAAACTATAAATGTTATAACCTATATAATTAATCAATGAAATTGGCAAGCAATAACTAATAAAATACTTGACTAATTATTAATAAAAATATTTTTATAAATAAAAAAATTAAATGCTCAACTAAATATATTAGAACAAAATCAAGGGACTTGGAAGTAAAACAACATAAAATCAGAATAATCTATCATAATTAAGCAAATTAAGTTTATTTAGGATTAAATTTAGCCAATAACACCCCAAATTAGGTTAAAAATGTGCAAATTATCACTCAGTATTTGTTTTGGTGATATGCAGAGTATAACATGCAATTTTACAGACTCCTATTAAATACATTGATAGATAAAAAAGTTTGAATACTATATAATTGCATAGCTAAGAGAGCAAAATAAAATTTTTATATTATTTTCAACTTACCAATAAACCATAAGATGATATAAAGGGTGAAGGGTTTGACATCATTCCTTGACCCTGTAATCCAATTATTGGCAAGCAAAAAAAAAAATTACATGCAAAATAATAAAATAGTACAGAATAACAAAATGTGATAAAAGAAATATGAAAAAACTACTCAGACTAATAATTAACTATGTTCAATGTGTACAGACTTTATTTAAGGTATTACAGATTAACTACACACTACTCAAAATATACATAAGAATGATAAAAAAAATATACGTAAATAAAGTAGTTCTTACCATAGGTTTGTAGTTAGCACCAGTTGTAGCTGCCATAGGTTGTGGACTCCAGCCCATACCTGGTTGTCCACTTCCTGACTTGGGAGTATTTTTAGGAGAATTCCATTGAACACTAAAAGTTGATCATTCATTATTTGATAATGGAAATAACAAAAATATGTATGGCTATGTATTTACTTTTAGAACTTTTTATTTACCTTTTACAGGTCTAAAATTTCATAAGTAGGAGAAATATTTATTAGGCATAGTATTCCAGAAAATGAAAACTAGTTTTACTGTGTTTGCGAGATCATATTAACTCGGAATATATTTCAACAGATTAAAAATGATACGGAAAAAATATTTTGGAACTGTACTAACCCTGAACTGAGACTCAAATATTATAGAAATTGATTGATCATAGATGTGCATACAGGGGCAGCGAAAACACCTTTATTGTCCCTGATGGGTGTGATTATATTAAGTGGGTTATAAGAGTCAACACAGGACATCTAAATTTTAATGCTACCTTAAGAATTTTATCTAACAATATTGAACTTTTAGAAAAGTCAATCTAGAAATTTTGAATTTAAGACTATTTTTCATAGACCTAATAATTTATCATGCTAAAATAGCTTACCATAATAAAGAAAAGCAAAAACTTCTCAGCTTCACATCGAAGCTAAAATATAATTAAAGGAAAACTAGCACAGTAGAGTAGCGATACGTGGCACAATAAGGACAAGTATAGGTGATATTAGATAATGATTCATATTACTACTATAAAAAATGTTTCAATGCATTTCTATACATAGTAATTCATTTTTCAAAGGCATTGTAGGATTTTTCCAAAAACAAATCAATTCCTATCTTTTTAATTGTATCCTGATTGCAATTATTATGACTTACAAATATAATATACGAACAAATACTTATTATAGAAATAAGACTTCCGTTAGTTCATTATTATTTCAGAAATGAAATTGAAATTGTAATTTATCATAAGCATTTGGTAACTAAAAATTTTTTTTGGAGAGAGCAGCCTTATTCCGTTTAATATATTTATAGAATCAACGTTAAACAATTTAAAAATTTTCCTGGAAAATATTTATAGGCAACATTTAAATTTTTATTATTAATAATAATAAATAATTTCTTAGCTTCCAAGCTAAAAAAGATATTTTGTGTTATCAAAATATTGATAATTATTTTTTCTGTGGATAGGGGATAAGAATACTTCCACGGCCCCTCTGCCAGTCGTAATAGGCGACTAATGAGGTTGCGTCAGGTCAATGTAAAACTTTTGTCAAAAAGTATGAGGAGTCCTGAACAAAATTTAGGCAGATTGTCCTATCTCGAAGACAACAGATGAGAGGAATAAAGTAGTTAAAAACGGAGAAGGCCTAAGGAATAAAGTGCTTGATACCAGCTGGACAACTTGTGCTGTTTCACAAGTCATGTGTACAGGTCTACCCAACGCTTATAGTGTCAACGGTGTAGAGACATCACCACTTAATTCTAGACTGAACTCATGTATAAGGGAAAAAATAGATACAAAGTAAGAATAGGTACTTGGAATTTTGGAACATTAAATGGTAGAAGTAGAGAATTAGTACAAGTATTGAAGAGGAGAAAAGTTAACATTTGTTGTGTGCAGGAAACTAAGTAGAAAGGAGAGAAATTGAGGAAAAATAGATGAGGATTATAAAATAATATACTCAGGTAAGTCAATTACAAATAATGATGTAAATATAATATTGGATGAGGAGATGAAAAGTAAAGTATTATATTAAGTAATTATTATTTTTTTTAAATAGATTATTTTATCGGTTGTAAATTGGTTGTATAACGTATATAATATATAATATAATGGAAATATATACTATATATTTCCATTTTAAAAAATTATGTTGAAAAAATGAAAAGGAGAAAAGGGGGGATTAGGAAAACATTATTTATATTGTATAAATTTTATTTCATTCTTGTAATAACTAACTTTAAAATTGTAAAGAGACATTATAACTCCACTAGATACTTAGCTCGAGCTAATAAGTTAAATATTTTTAACAGTTTCACTCATAAAAAATGCAATTTTTATTAAATTATTAAAAAATGAATAATCAACAATATTGATTTTTCATTAAATATTATAAAAAGACTTAACTAATTATTAATATAATACACAATTAACTTGAGTCTAAAAGTTATATTGATATTGTAATTTTTTTCAGAAACCTAAATAATTAAAAATTAATTACCCAAAATAAGTATAATTTTATACAATCCATATTTATATTGTTCTCTCTCCCGAAAAATCCAGTATTAATATCCCAGACTAAATTTGTGTTGACTGATATAATAATATACTTACGGTGGTGGTTGTGTAGCTTTATTAATAGTAAGATTTTCTGCTAAAGAAGCCAAACTGCTGTCTAAATCTCCTGTCAGTACTTTTTTATTATTCAAATCAGTTGAACCTAAAATATATATACATATATATATATATATATGTATAAAAATAAGATGCAGTGAAAGTTATAAATAGAAACTACAAAGTAATTCACTTATCAACCATTATTAATTCATTAAAGAATAAGAAAACATTAATAATTATTTTATTGGCTTTTTTTACTTCAATGTTTCTATAATTGATAAACTGTATCAATCATGAAGTATTTTTTATATTCATTCCTTATACTTTATAAGAGTGTCAACTATAATTTCTCAAATGGCAACACTTATAATTAACTAGCTTATATAATAGATAATGATACAATTAAGAAAAATGATTGGCCGGTAATAACTTTTAAACACAGTATTTTGAAAGTTATTAAAAATTTATAGTAATGACTGAAGATAATCTATTCTAATAGATAGACATTTATCAGCCAAACTCTTGCTATCATCTAGGTATATACATGTCAAATAACTTCTAAAATACTGTGGATCAAAAGTTGTTTTCAACCAATCTTCTAATCTAATCTTTCTATTAAGAAAACCAATTTTCTTAATTAGATCATTATTATTAATCAAGTAATTTCATTATGTGTCTTGCCATTTAAGAAATTATAGTTGACACTCTTATTAGGTATAAGGGAAGATTATAAAAAATTCTTCAGGATTCATAAATTGTGAGAAACATTGAGCTAAAAGGAACCAATTAAATAATTGTTATTATTATTTTCATTTTTTGAATAATTAATAATAGTTCATGATATATAAATAACATATTTAATCACATTTTTTAAACTAAAATTAAGTAAAATAACTGAAATAACAATTGCAAAATTCTGGCAAATTATTTAATTATTATTTGTTTATTAAAATAATAGCTATAAATTCTAAATGTAATAAAGATACGCTAAAAATAAATAAACATAGCAATATTAAAACAGATCAAACATGTTTGTATAAATGTATAACTATTTGATGTGTAATACTTTATCAACTTAATTAAATCAATTTTTATTATTGTTCAAAGAAGTTTTAAGATAAGTAGTAAAATATTTTTTATAACCAATAGTTTAGCTTATTTTTAAAGTCATTAATTATCGTTTTGATATAGGCATGCATTATTATCTTCAAAATTCAAAAAGTTAGTAATATTATAGGTTTTATGTTATATAAAAACAATTTTCTGTATTTAGTTTTATGTATTGACCATTAAGAATGTTGTAACTCACAGATAGTACAATAGTTTGTTTTTCAAATAAATGTTATTATATACAATCTATTAGTCTCTAATAAGTTTCAATGTTCACTTTAAATATATAACTTACTTTTAAATTAATCAAATTTAGACAAAATATTGGTTTAAAATTAAGAAACTATCAATTGATAAGTTTCGACAAATTGAATGTGTTCTGTGTAACAAGAATCAACTATAAAGAATATGCACCCAGATATTATAATTTAAAAAAAATTGTAAATTAAGATGTTTATTATTATTCAGCTAAAAATATTATTTAACTTTTTTGATCAATTTTTTCAACAAAATTTTGAACAAAATGATAAGGTTGATATAATTGATTATAAAAAATAAACGAACAATTTATTGAGAACCAGCTTTTAAAATATTACTTAATTGTAATAATACATTAACTAACATTTAAAGTTCAGAAAATATAAAAATATTTCAAACAGAAGTCTAAATGATGCATATGAAATTTGAATACAATATTTTATATTGTATATCTGAGAGAAGTTTGTTTGACATAGACTCGCCTACAGAATCATACACGTGCTGAGAAGTATTTTGTTTATTAGGTAAGTTATTTGAGGAAAGTAAAAAGTGTTTTGAATTCCTATAAGGTGGAGGAGGTGGCCTCAGAAGAGGTATTGAAAATCCCAAAGATTTTTAAAATTGTAGTTTTTCAATAGGTGCTTCATCTAAATCATTATGTTTTATTTCAAATTGAATATTTGAGTTAATAACAGATATTCCATTAAATGCAGCTTAAAATTTATTTATAATATACTTCCAGGAAAATTTAAAAACAATAACAATTTATAATAAATATTTCTTCTAATTTTACTAGTAATTGTGCTAATGTAAAGTTTTAAATTTTATTTACCTGAAGCATTTGAACCTGGATTTTGCTGATTTAGTTCTGGCTGTCCAAAAACTGATGTAAAGGATTTATCATCAACAAATGCATTACTAGAATTCGTATTAAATCCATTGCTCATCCAGTTATTGGTGCTATCATTATTTATGGAACCAGACACATTATTTTGTGTAGATGATACAGATACCGAAAACATATCAGCAAATGGGTTATTTAGCTGAAGTAAATCATCTGATGCTTTGACAGATACCTAAAATATATAATATATAACTTACATAAAATATATTTGAAATTCTATTTCAACTCATTTAATGTTTATTTATTTGTAACAAGAGCAGACTAAAGTATGTTTACTATTAATACAATTAAAACTTTACTATAATTTTTTTTTAACAATTTTTGCATTGATCAAAAAATCACTTTTATTCATATTCATATAATTTTTTATTTCAATTTTTGATAGTTTTTTATGTTTATATTTTAGATTAAGTGGTAAAATTATATAAGTTTGTAGAGGACAAGTACTTCATAAATTTCCCCAATACAAAAAAAAAAAATTGAATAAATGTTTTTTACAGCTTTTAATGTCAATTCAGTAAGTATATCAAAAAGAAAAGGGCTGCCCTTTCAAAAAAATTGCATTTAAAACAAAAAATTATATAATTTAAAAAATTATACTATTTATTTTTAATTGAATTTCATGATAAATTTAAATGATATATCAGTAATTACAAAAGATAATTTAAACAATGCAATTTCTAAAAATAAAATAAATATAAAAAATCTAATAATAATTAAATATTATTACACTTATATCATTATTACATCTTAACAATTAATTTAAAAATAAAGTTGTTGAACAAATAGATTATAAAAAAAATTTTATATAAAAGATAGTAACGTCGCAAATTTTAAGATGGACTGTTTATAATTTTTTGTTATGCCTACTTTTTTATTTTTTTATCGTCCAGGAGAATACGTAAATAAACCTTTTTCAGAAACAGTTATGTCAACAAATCATTATTTTTGCCGCTGATCACTAGATAAGGCGACAAGAGAGAATAAATATAATTAATATCAAATTGTTAATCGATATTGATTCTTCCCAAAAAAATTTGGCTGTTATCAATTTAAAATTGACCTTAGATAGGTGTTGGCTCTTCATCAGCCCTACTGTCATTGACCATGCTAGAGTGCACATGTTTCTTTTTTTCTTGTAACTATTTTTTTTTATAATGAAATAGAGTAGCCAATCAGCGAAACATCTAGACCTTTGAATGGGTCTCATCGGAGACCAGATATCACTTTCTTTTTTATAATTTTATTTATGTAATGAACTGTATTTTATTAATTATTTAATTTCATTTTGTTTTATTATAAATTAACTTAATTGTATTTATATGTGGAGAGCATGTGTTTCCTCTTTCTTCTAGCCAATGCTAAGGAACAAGTGTCCAGATCGCTCCTGGTGTTTTTTTTTATTAATTTCCAATTAACATTAACAGATGTGTTCCATTGCCATCCTTTTTGTTTGTTATATTATTTGATTTTGATTAAATATTTTATTTTAATTTTGTTTACATTTTTCAAAGACACGGCTTTTAATACATTCGTAGATTTTCCATGTTTAACTTAATTTTTTTCTTAAATATTTAAATTAAATTTCTTTATTTATCTTAACTGTAATATTTATTATTATTGTGCGAGTAGCTTAAGTACTCGCGTGTATTTTATCCCTGTTCTTTATCTAGACACAGGCTATGGTATGTTATACATATTAACCACTTACAACTTTAATTATTATAGTTGTGGTTAATAAACTACGAAGTGATATAATCATTTATATATATAACGACATATTAACTTGAATTAAACTATTAATTAAATTTCACCTATGGATTGGTATCATATTTGATAGGTGTGACAACTTGCCTAGGTGGTGGCGACCCTTGCTACCATAGCTAGTCGTTATGCAAGCAACAAATTACGTTGTTTCAGGCAGACAAACAGCCCAATTGCAAAATTTACATAGTATTAATTAAAGGATCTAGTGCAAAAATTTTCATTTTATAACATTTTTAGGAGACATAAAAAACTAAATAATTTTAGTCCTAATATCAAAATGTTAAGCATTTTTATTTTTATGATATTAGGTTTTTTAGTAGGCTGATAAACTTAGCAGTCTCACCAAACTGTTAAAAATAATTTTTTCTCAGAAGATATAAAAATGTTAATTTCGAAAAATGTGAAAATAACCAATCAATGCATTGGATCATTTAATTGATAAAACTAGCAATACATATTTTCCAAACAACAATTCAATAAAAAAATATATTGAATTTTTTTTTTACACAATTTGTTATCAAAATATACCTGTGAAGATGATGGTGCAGGGCTTGAAAATAAATCAACAATAGGTTCTGATGAAACTAGAAATGGATTATTTGCAGTAGCAATGGCACCATTAACTGGACTGCTTACTTTAGCCTAAAATAAGTATTTTTAAAATATAAATTTATAAATAAATAAAAATATAGATTAATTTAAAAAATGTTAACCACTGTACCTTATATTGATTAAGAACTGCTTCTTCTTCGGCAAGAACAGCTTGTTTTATGGATTCTTCAACAACATCTGCATGTTGAGCTATTGTTCCAAACGAACTACTAGTGGAAGAAAGAGCAGATACACCAGTCTTTACATCAGTTCGATGTGTACTATAATATTATGAAAGGAAAGGAAGGAGAAAATCATAAATGAAAAATAAATAAAATAACAACAAAAATTTAATTTAAATTAAAATAATTAAAAATAAAACAGAATAAGGAAAATCAACAAAAATAGTAAAAAAAATAAAAAAATAATATACATTTAAACAGAAGTATAAGGATGTAAATCAAGTTTTAATAAAGGATATAAGTTATATACGTCTAGATTTAAAACGACTTAATCAAGCCCTAACAGAAAAAAAAGCTAAAAATACCTATTGAAAAATGAAATTTTCATAAAATTGATAAAATTGATATGCTTAATGTTATGAAACATCAAAGTATTACTACTTCTTAAAGAAAAATATTCACAAAAGGGATGTTAAATTTTTTTTTCAAATTTGATAAATATCTTTTAGGTATTTATATTTAATTACTATTACAATATAAAAATAATACATTATTTGATGCATGGGGATATACAACTTTGATTCTTTATGCCATTAATATGTTTACTCACTGAATTCAAAATAAAACATTGTATTCTAAAATTTACTGTTAATTAATTTTTTTCTGTTAACTTAATAAGAGATATATATTATGCTTTTATTTAACTTTTATATAAGGAAAGCTTCGATATAATAAAAAAATTATTATTACTTAATCACTGCTATGTGGGTTTAGTATTTTATACATTTATTTATAAATAAAAAATTTTTTCATACCTAGTGGCTTGAGTGGGTGTATTTGCTGCAGATTTTTTGCCTTCAATAGATGCTAAATGTTGTTCTAAAGCATCTAGTAAGCTACTAGGTGCCTTAAAATAATAATTATCATATAATTATAATTGTATAATAATTAATAAAAATAAAGTAGATTTAATTCATACTTTTGTAAGATCTGGAATTTCACCCTTGTCTATGCCAACATTTTCTGCTACTTTAAGAAATTCTCCTACACGATCCATCCTAATCAAAAACTTCTTATATAAATCCAAAGCATCTCGACATTGCTTCTTATTCATATCAAAATACTTTTCTGTAATAAGAAATACTTATTGCTTAGTACATATATTTTTTTTTAATACTAGTAATGAGCAAATCTAAGTGTTAAATGTTATTATTTACAATAATTTAAAAAATTTAATTTAAAAATTAAATAATTTCACATTTAAAATTTCTCAGAGGAGTAATCTACTAATATATTTTTAATTAGTACTAATAGTAAAAAGGTTTTTTTTGTAAAATATCTCCATAATCCACTTTTATATTGAGATAAAACAAAATACTTATTTCAAACTAACAAAAAATTAGACTTATAAGGTTGTTGCACAGAGTAGTAATTACTAAATAAAAGTAAACTGTGAAATAAAATTAAATTGTCAAATAAGAAAAGGTATCTTATACCAAATTGTCTAAAATAGATACTTCTACACTTTCTTATTTTGCTTACTATTTTGACTGTCAAAAAATTGTCTACAAAATGTATTATGTTTATAATTTAAAGCACAAACTAGCACAATGGCAAATTTAGAATTTTTTTAAGAAGCATTAAAAAATTTACTTTTTAAAATCTATTTATTTCCAATAAAATTGTATTTTAGTGACTCTGTTTAAATTTGTATAGTTAATTAATTTTATTAATATTTTTAAGCTAAAAATTAATTTTTTTTTTTAATTAAAGCCTTTCCAAAGAGTACTCTTTATTTATACTCTGGAAAGGGTAGTTTATCTATCACTATAAAGAGGGGTAGTGATTCAAGTTACTGAATTCATCTCTCTTTGAGCAAATGAGTCTCAAACCCCTGATAGTGCACACCAGGCACTGATATGTTACCAATACAAAAACACACCATCTTCCATTACCTTGATTGTGGTTTGTTTTTAAGGTCGTATCCATAACACCAGGATTTGTGAACTATGATAACCTTGGTCATAATTTGTGTCATTTTAGAGCTGTATTTTTAATTACAGAACATGCTTTCATACTAACATAAACTTTGCAGCCACCCTTCTCATTCCCAAAATGTCACTTAAAATATGCTGCGCTGAATTACAAGATCCTCTAGATTTTTTCACAACTACTTCAGTATTCTATTGTCAATCTTCCAAGATAATTTTAAGAATATCCTCAATATTTTCATTAGTTTGGGAGGACGTTCTAACACTTTTAAAATGGAAAACCCACTTAAACACATGATTTTTCGCCATAATATCATCTTTCTAGACTTATTTTAATATTGAAAACGTTACTGGGCCAGTTTTCTTGAGCAGGAATCAAAACTTCATGGTCTATTCACGAAAATCAACCATCACAAACCGATGAGTTTGCAAAACAATTGACATGAAAAATTAACCAAAGAGAAGTAATCTTTTAAAGTAAAAAAAATTGGTACACAGATTGGTGAAAAGTAGCTTTCACAATTGTATCATCAAAATTTGGTAAGACATAAATTCTGCCCCTCGCAACATCAGTTTAGTTTCTTTTAGGTACCCCCTCGTATATTTAAAATTTTGAAGTTTTAAAACTAGGAATTCAAAATTTTACATAATTTAAACTATATACTAAAGTCATTTTAAGGATTTTCTATAATTTCTAAATGTAATAGATTAGAGTTTACATATGTAGGATAGTTAAACAACTCTTGAAATAAATTGACACAACAAAGTTTTTCTTCTATAATATACAAATACCTAAATGTTTAATTTCATACTAAATAATATACCAAACCCTTAACTAATATTACTCTCCTTCCTTAATGGTAATTTTTGAATACTTTTGTTCCAAAACACAATTTTTTCGATCAATTTGAAAAGAAATTTTATGGTTATTTCTAAATTTAAATGAGTCATTCAAAAATCATATTATTCAATTAAACATATAATATAATATAATATAGTTAAATATTCAAAATTGTAACAATTATTACTTTTGGAAAACATACCTAATAAGTTGATAATGCTGTCATTATATCCAGCAAAAAGACGAATCAAATCTCGAAAAAGTAACATAAATGCAGTGTTAATAACACTGTTTGTAAGATCAGCAGCAGTACAATCAAATTCTAATAATGCATCTAATTGAGATTGTAGAACTGGTAATGTTTTCAACAGTTTTTCAGAGTTCATTGTGCGTAAAATTCCATCTTCCTTACTACAAAAAATGTATATAAAGGTAAATAATTTTACAATATTATGAAAAATCATTTTTTCATATTATTAAATTAATACACCAATCTAACAACTATAATGAACAAAACTTGCTGTTCCTTGAATCTTGTTATAATAGATTTATACTGTATTTACATATTTGAAATTTATTAATACATTGTTTAATATCTCATACATATAAAAAATACCTTCTTTTAACTTTGCAAAAGTCAAATGCTACTGTTCTATAAGACAATGCTTTTTCATTTAAGTATTTTGAGTAACGTCTAATAAATGGTGACATATCATAACCTATAATATAAAAATAACAATAAGAATGCAGATAATATATTTATGGAGTAGTGTAGAGATGTATCAAATGTACTCTAAGGAAAACATAATTTGTATTCAATTATATAAGAGTCCTCAGTTTTAAATAACTAAGATTTTATTTAAGTAATTTTTTCTAAAGTTTATGAATTCTGTATTGTTTGTTATGTAATCATATTTTCAACAATTGAATTGCTGAGAAGAAAAAAGACAAAATTCCATATTACTAAAATACAATATGGAAGCTATGTTGTAGATAATATGATAACTATTGATTTTAACCATGTTAAATTTAGGAGACATAAGGTTAAGCATACAAAAATAATGTTTTATTAATAAGTTATTAATTAAAATTAAATTTTGGGAAATCCACTCTTTATTATTATAGAATATTATTCTTTTTCTAATAAGTAAGTCAAATATAAAATGTAAAGATGAGATCAAACTAAAAATTATGCAAAATAAAAAAAAAAAAATTATTGAACAATGAACATGAATGATAATAAATGAAATACTCCTAAACTTTATATTATTGATTAAGATACCATGCGTCTCTTATCTAGAAGAGACACATAATTTAGATTGTTCTAAATAATGAGGATGTACTGAATATACTAATTTAAATATTTATATATTATAGGTTTAAAAGCTATTTGTAATCAGATGCATGAGTCATATTAAGATTTAGATATGGGATCAATTAATTTATAAATTACATATATATATAATTATATGAACATATATATATATATATCTGAGTTTTATTTATACATCAAAATATGCCAGTGGAAGATTCAACATTTTTTGAAAGGCAACACATTAAGTTTTTAGACGATAAAATTTATATTTACTTATTTTATTCTTTAGAATACTTATTATTAAGCAAGCAATGATAGTCAAAGGAGGAGCACGCATTCCCTGCTCTCTCCCCATGAATCTTTCACTATAAATAATTATTCTTAATAGTGCATGTTTAATATATTATGAATTAAAAAATTAACAATCATGTTTTTTTCAGAAAAATTTCAACACTTTAAGTCCAAATTAATAATGAAAAAAAATTTTAATTTAAATTCATTTTTTTACATAAAAAAAATGTAAATGTAATTTTTTAAAAATTCCAAAATAAGGAACACCTTTCAAAATATAACAATATCAAAATTTTGATTTGTCAAGTTTACAATATAATTGTACATTTTATGATTCCAAACTAAACAGCCATTAAAAATTAATTTAAGTTTTAAATTTATAGCAGCTACAGAAAGAGGAAATATTAAAACATATAAGTAATATAATAAAAGTAAAATATATAAGTATATTTATATAATACATATTTTTTTATAAAAAAATTAATTATGGACTACTATTGCTTAAAATTGTATTCTTACCAGATCGTATTCCAGCAGGTCCTTTTAAGGAACAATCATAAAAATAAATCATAAATATTTTAATGCAAATTTTAGATAGTTAGAATTAATTTATTAATTAATAGTAAGTCAATAAATATTATTACAAAAATTTTTTATATACCTTGCAAACTACTTTTGTCTAAGAAATTACTTAGTTGAAATGAACTATTACTAGAAGCCAAATATTGTGTAAACCTCTAAAAAAAAAAAAATTTTAATTTATACTGCATAATTCAAAAATATATATTTGACAAACTTCATTTCCGTAACACATTAAATGGTGCACTGTAATTAAAGACTTGAAAACAACAACCCAACTAGCATTTTGTGATCTTTCAATTAGAAGATTTGCCAATTGTGGAATTGAAACATTTGGTTCGTTAGTACAATGAATTAAATCTACAAGAACAATGACAAAATTTTAAATTCTTTTAACAAAATAAAATAGATTAAAAATAATTAATACTTAATTCTATATTTAAAAAAATGTTATATGCATTAATACTGATATGATCACTTATAAGTGCTTATATCACATAACATCATTGTACCGCCGACTAGGCTAAATAACATTGACACAGTGACATAAATATAACTATAGAAGAGCAGACTATTCACATAAACATGTTTGGGATTCACGGCCACTCTGCCATAATAAGAGTGTCCTAAACGCCAGTTGACATTTTACCATCATCATAACTATTACTCTTATTGTCTAAGATATTAACTTAAAAACAACAAACTTAGACACTCTCCTATCAATCTTAAACTCTCTATGGACTAATTGCCTTATACCTTCCTCCTGGAGAAATTTTCACATCTCTTCGTGCTATTTAGATCTAGTGTGTATGTGTGTGTGTGTCAGCTTCCTATTGGATTAATATTATCTCTAGGTGTCCAGCAGGTTGTATTATTTATTTACTTTGTTTACTTGATAAACTATTATATTGTTGCATAATTATATATTATTGTAATACGATCCTTGGTAATTCCTCTAAGGATACATAAATTAAATAGGAAACCTCAGTACCTCAGGTAGATATAGTCTAGCCAGCTAGCTTAAACCAGCCCTTAAAATACTGTTGACTATTAAATGTCATATGTATTATAATATATTGGTATTATGTCAGACATTTTTTAGAGTGAAGGGGCTAAAATTTTTTTATACTATTAAACAAAAAATTTTACAATGGATGACCTTTTTTTGTGTTAAATTACTTCAGAGAGTACCACTGGTAGTAAAGCATTAGGCTATTGCATATATTTTAGGGTAGGGGCAGCAACCCTTCATCTTCCTCTTGCTACACTACTGATACATATATATTTATTGAGAAAAATAAATAAAAAAAACCAGCACAGGGGGGTCGCGGCACAGTGGTGACGTGGCATAGATGGATCAAGTATAATGATATCTGACAGTGATTAAAATCACTATAAAAAAAAAACGCTTCGATGCAAATCTTTAGATAGTGTTTAATTTTAAAAAATTGGTGGATTATTCCAAAAGCTACATGATCTGCTAGTTCATTATTAATATCCTAATTAAGATAAAGTATGTCGAATGAAAAAGGGATTATTAAAAAATATTATTTCTTATAAAAAAATAATGTTGATCCATACACTTTTAAATATGTCATAGCATTATAAAGTTAAAAATGTAAAAAATAAAATCGAGAATTTTCACATAATAATAGCATTTGGTAGCCATTTTCACCGTGAAGATAAAATAAAGTCCGAAATTTTTTTTTCGCATAATAAAGTAGATTACATTAATTTAAGATTTATTAATTAATTAATTTAATTTAAGATATAAATAAAAGTGTCAGACTTTCCGGAACAGTTTCAAAATTTAAGTTGAAAAAGTAAATTTTTTGTGAAAAAGTTGTCATTTTAAATCCCCCCCTGTGGGCAGGTAAAGGGTCAGATATAAAAAAAATATATACCAAATGATAGGTAAAGACATCATGCATCTATAAAAAAAAAATTATATTGATCCATACATCTTTCAAAAAGTTATAGCATTATAAAGTTAAAAATATAAAAAAGAATTTTTTTACAAAAATCGTATTTTTTTTATAAACTTTGATGTCTGTTTTCACCATGAAGATAAAATAAAGTCCGAAATTTTTTTTTTCCATAATAAAGTATATTACATTAGCTTTAATTTAAGATATATATAAAAGTGTCAGACCTTCCGGAACACTTTCAAAAGTTAAGTTGAAAAAGTTCTACTTTCTATATGCATTTTTATGTTTTGAATCCCCCCTGTATTTAGGGAAATGGTCCGATTTAAAAAAACAGTATGTCGAATGAAAGATCTATATAAATACTACTTCTCATAAAAAAATTGTAATGATTCATACATTTTTCAAAAAGTTATAGCATAATAAAGTTAAAAATGGAAAATACAAAATCGAAAATTTTCACACAAAAATAGCATTCGGTAGCCATTTTCACCATGAAGATAAGATAAAGTCCGAAATTTTTTTTTTTCATGATAAAGCATATTACATTAGCTTTAATTTAAGATATATATAAAAGTGTCAGACCTTCCGGAACATTTTCAAAATTTAAGTTAAAAAAATTAATTTTTTGTGAAAAAGTTGTCATTTTAAATCCCCCCTTGTGGGCAGGTTAAGGGTTAAATTTATGAAAAAAATATACCAAATGAAAGGTAATGATATTATGCATCTATATAAATAAGAATTATATTGATATGTTTATTTTTGAAAAAGTTATGGCACTTTTAAGTAAAAAAAATTGAAAAAATTTCGAAAATTAGCGATTTTTAAATTCGTAATTTTTTTGGAGGTTTCCCCCATTTACGGGGAACGAGGGAATTTTTTTCAACTTTTGAGGGTAATGTCTTCGACTAGATACAATTTGTGATCTTTTGACGTATCATTGAAAGAAATCAGTTCGGTGAGAGCTGAGAAAAAGTGGTAACAGACACCAAAAAAAAAAAAATAAAACACATCTTAGTAAAACCATTACCTTCTCAGCTTCGCATCGAAGCCTATATTAAAGTATTTTCAAAATTAGCATCCTACTAACTAGAAATATAATTAAGGATTATAATTTAAAATAATTTTAATAACTTTTTTCCTTACTAATATACACAATTAAGGCGCTTTAGTCTATGAATGTAAGGGGATTACCTTAAATTTTATAAGCTAAATAAGCGATAAATAGGCTAATAATGAATTTTCAACATTTTATTTCTTGGGCTCTCTTGAAACTACCATCCTTGTGATTCAACATTATAAAATCTGGCCATACTGAAAACAACCTTTTACATCTGCTACCATACACAAATAAATATCTTAGTAGTAATACTTTCTAAGCTTAATACTTTTTAATAGGTGTTAAGCTTCAATTTGAAGTTAAAATAAAAAAAAAATGTCTAGGTAAAATAATTATAAACATAGCAAAAAAATTCATCAAATAATAAAATTAGTTTTAAGAGAAATTAATATGTATCCTAACCTCCTTTTGAATAGTTTACATTTGAATACTATAAGAAAATTTAATAAAATCTATTAATTTGGGATATATACATATTTTATTATAATATAATCTGGAATAAGCATGTATTAGCTTTCAAATAGAATCGTGTAGCTATAAGTTACTAATGAAAATCAAATAATATTTTTAAATTTTAAATATATTTTAAGCCAATTTATTTTAGTAAAAGCTGAGATTTTAATAACTGTACATTCCTAAATAAAAAAGATATCGCAAAACTAGTAATACTTTGTATCTGATATTATAAATAATAAATAATTTTATAACTAATGAATATCAATTGAAAATAGCCGATTGCTTTATAATGAATTGTATTAATATTCAAGATAAAAAAAACTCCTCTTTATAAAAAACAGAACACCAATATTTGATAAAAAAAAATTCATTAGGGAATTTAAATTAATTATATTGATTTTTGCGTAGAAGATTACGTAATTAACTTAAATTATGGGACATGTGTTGTTTCAATATGATCTTTTGAAGTTTAGACATATCATGCTAAGTAAAATGATATAACACAGGGATAGATTTTATTTATCAATAATTGATTAATAAAATCTATAATTATTATATTTGACGACAATATTTGTTATTTAAAAAATAGATTATGATAAAATTATGTTGATCAAAGGGAAACAATTGAATGTCTAAAATTTCTTTCTTTTAAAACTTTTGACAGTTTACCAGAAAATGTGCGTCTTTTAAAACCTTTTTATAAAGTTATAAATAAAAACGTTCGTATAACTTATATAATAAAAATCATTCCGCCTGAATTTGAGTTATTATCTATTAATTTTTTTTTTATAAATAGTCATAATCTCGCATTGGGGTAGTCCATGTAAATAGTGCCTGGAGAACAAACGTTTTGGATGTTAATTAAAGGATGATTTAAACCAAAAAAATATTTTATATTGCTATGACTATAGCTGTTATAAGTTAAATATTAATATCATTTGAAAATCTTTTAGAACAATGTAAACAGTTAAAATACTCTATTAAAGAGGCTATTTTAACTAAAATAAATGAAATTTGAATAATCAAAACCACTACAACGATTTACTATAAATTTTGTTTTAAATACAGAAATTTTTTATTTTACTATCCATGTTTATGATTTTTGTACTTATGATTAAAGACAACAATTCAAATAGATAAACCATTTTTTAATTTATCAAAAAGTAAAAATAATAACTTACACTTTATTATTTATTAATAAAATCAAAATAAAATGCTAATATACAGTAACAATACAACAAGAGATAAAAATTACTTAAAAATACAATTTCGTCATATCCTCATTTATTATAGATGTTGAGTAAGGGTTTAACTTCTCAATTTAAAATTAATATTTGAAAAAATTATTTGTATTTAATGAAGAATATTTTTTAAGAAAGGCGAAAATAAGAATTAGCCTATCAATTTTTTTTTCATTTGATGCCTATGGGTATTATATATACTTTTATTTTTTGCAAGACTTTTTTATTGAATATTACCTGTTAATTTCAATAAAACATTTCTCAAGCATAAGTTTAGAAAATTTAAATACTAAAGTCGACATATAAAGATTAAAACTAGTGATAAAAATAATAAATAACCTCATGTTTATTAGATTCAATGCGTAGTTAAGAACGAGTTCTTTTGTGTATCTGCATTTTAAATGTTTACAGAAAACCCCCTTTTGGAACCCATTTTTCTTAATAATATGTTAAAAACTAGAATTAACATTTATTTAAAGTTACCGCCGCTATAAAAATGTTTTCTTGTTTCCCGTGTTTAGGGGAAATCATGCCAAATTTAAATTGTTTAAAAGTATACATGAATTTTTATTTTACTTTTTTAACTTTATATTGTTAAATCTTAGACCAATTTTGAAA